TCCCCACCCCTAGGGCATCCACGTCTCGGCTCGTTTTATCCGCTGGCACACCACTCTCTGAACCTACAGAGTTTCGAGCCATTGTTGGGAGTTTACAATATCTTTCGCTCACTCGACCGGACATTAGCTACGCCGTGAATAAACTGTCACAGTTTATGCACATACCCACAGATGCTCATTGGGTGGCGGTAAAACGCGTCTAGGTAGTGTATTTTTATTACTAGTTCCTCCCCTCTCTAGTTTTTCTGTTTTTACTAAAAACGGATTATCGTAAGGATTTTCGTAAGGATTTTCATCGCTATTATAGTCTAAGACAATTTTTTCAGTTTCATCAGGTTATTCTTCGGGTATATAAAGAGCGGCTAATAATGTTGATAATTTTTCTATCTGATCATTTAATACTTCCATTATATTTTTGGTGGTGATCTAATTCGAGAATTAGTTTGATCAATAATAATTAATTCTTTTGCTTATTTCTTAAAATAATTTTGTAAATCTTTCATAGTGATATATCTGTTTTGATTTAGTCGTTCGATTATTTCTTGTAACTGTTCTATTATTTCTAATATTTTTGGTTTTTCATTTTCATCTGGATCTATTATTTCTTTTCCTTTATTTTTTGTAATAATATGGTTTACTAATTCTTTAGCTTCGTTAAGTTCTTTTATTATTTGAATTTGTCTGTTATTATAATTGTAATTACTTGTTGTTGTGAGTATTTCTTTTATATTTAGTAGTAACTCTTTTAATTCAACAGTTGTTTCTTTAATTAATTTTTCTATAGTTTCCTTTATAGTTTCTGTCATCCTATTATTGTTTTAATATATTCTTTTAATTCTTCAGAGTGTTGTTTCACTTCTTTAATACTTTTTTCTTGTAGATATATTATTTCTTCTAATTTTTTGTTTATATTTTTAGTTTCATCTTGTTTTTCATAGTTTTGTTCGAATATTTTTATTAATTTTTGTAGTTGACTTTCTAAATCTGATTTTATATTTTCAATATTTCTTTTTAATTCTTCGTGATTTTCTGGATTTTGATGTATGATTCCATAGGAAATCATTTCAACAATATTATTTAGGGTACAACCTATTTTCTTTATTTTATTTTTGAGATTATGATTAGTATATCATCAAAGATGGTACCAATATAATATCGGCTTTGATTATGAAGATTTTTAGGTATTGTTATCACCTTTCCTTTATAAAGAAATCCGGGATAACACTCATCTTCATTAGTTAATATTAATGGTAATCCTTTCGAAAAATCAATTTTTTCGTTATCCATAATCGTTACCTTGCTCTGATACCAAATGTAAATTATCAAACTAATCGAAATTTCTTATACAGCAGAATTTTATTTTATTTTAATTTTTATTTTTATTTTAATTTTTAATTTTTTATTTTTTATGTTAGGGTATTTAGTAGGGTTAAATAGGTCATTTTACTACTATTGGAGTGTAGATTCTGATAGAAAAATTTATTACAATTTCAGGGATGTATCATTGATAGCCATGCGACGCTTGAGGGGTATTCTTGAAGTTTGTCCTTCTAAATGGGGATTGGCCTTTATTATTCGCTAGCCGTTGTGAAAATAAATCTTTCATAATATTACATTTTTATTTCCACAAAGGTATTTGAATCATATATTTATAGATATTTATAGGTAAATAAAATAAACTTGTCTCATTTTTTTACTAACGATTAATTTGCTGTTCCATTGATAATTTCACAGAAGTGGAAACTTTTTTTTAATTTAAATGTATTGATTTTTATTCGGCTTTTGGAATAAAGGATGTTGTCTAAATGTGGAGAAGTGCTAAATGACGGTCGGAGACTTGGAGTTATGCATTTTGGATAGATTAAATGTCAATCTATACAAACCTATATGAACTCTTTTATATATATAATATCATGTACTAGATTCTAATAGTAATTATATTTAGTAACACTGTTGTTGTTGTTGAAACGAGAAAATAAATATATATGCGGAGGTAAATATGACCGCTAGATATAATTAAAAACTTAGCGATACAATATCAATTAAAAAATGAAATAAATATTTCATATTTTATTCTATTTTTTATTTCTTTGATTGTTTATATATTTTTTCCTATAACTATACAATTTGTAGAATTGAATTGAATGTACAAAAGTTGAACAATTAATTATTATATTATAAATTGGAATGAACTATCAAAAGATAATTATATATAAGCAATCTTAATGTAATAAGCACGTGAAGTGATTTTAATTTTTAATGAACATAGAAGTCGAAACTTTTTACTGTGAGTGAACAATTACAGTGTTGAAAGTTGAACTCTATTTTTTGAACCAATCACGTTTACAAATACCAACGAGAATAATTTGTATTTACCCACCATCTTACTCAATTTATTCCTAAGAGTCAATTTAGTCAGGGGCATTATCCAAAATATCATCTTTCTACTAAAATTAATTCTGCACATACCATCCTACAGATATGACTATGTGACCAAAATAATCATATGGTCACGTGATGGTCATATTGGTCATAACGTTAAATTTATGGTGATCACATCAAGTCACCATGATCACACCTTATATATCATACTAATCATTTGGTGAAATCATAAAAATTTTAACGTTGTGACCAATATGACCATACAAATATTCTGATGACATGGTCACATCTGGAAGAAGGTATATGCAGAAGTAGTTTTAACTGAAAGAGGGTATTTTAGATATTTTGCCATTTGGTTAGTCACCGAATAGTATAACCGTCACCAAATCGAATTCAACATAAAAAAAAATTGAATGATCATCGTTTTTTTAAAAAAACTAAAATTTAACCAAATCAATAGAAAATAATCGGAAAAACTGATTTTCTTTTTGAAAAAAAGTATATTGTAACCATAAAAATCATATAAGAAAAGAATGATTGTAGTATTTGAATATAACCGAACTGAAATAAGAAATGGTTAGCCACCCTAATTATTAGGGCATCTATACTTCATAAGTTCACATTCATACATCGAATAGAATTCTCGACAGTGATTTTCACAAACACTGCGATTCCTCGGACAAGAAAATTAAAATTTTCCGTCCTAGGATCGACAACAAAGATACAGGAACCAAGATTTGGGTTCATGTACCAAAATAAAATAAAATAAAAATTATTCACCATTTTACATTCCAAATCATGTAAACACCCTTAAATAGTATAATCATAATACAGAGGAAGCGTGGAGTAGTCAGATACATCTCCCTTCACAAACGCACCGCCGGCGGACACTAGCAGCGGCGCCAGAGGATGACGAAACGACCGCAGACGCGCCGCCGCCAGCGTCCGCTTCTGCATAGCGATCAAAACGTTGTGCCACGTGTTGACCCTTGATTGGGCCTTCCCGTGAACGCCGACGTTCATCTCCGACAAATCGTCTGACCTTACCGCGATTACTTCCTCCGCCGTCGCGCCGTCGAGGATCCAAATGAGACAGGAACAGAACCCTTTTGAGATTTCTGAGTCGCTGTCGGCTCTGAACCTCATCTTCCCCAACTCGTCGATCTCAACGTCTAACCACACCTGAGTCGTGCAGCCCGTGACTCGGTTCGCCGGAATCCGGGCCGACTCGTCCAGCGGAGACAGAGCCGCCGCGTAGAGCAGGAGGCGTTTTACGCGCTCGATCGGCTCCGACAGGGATCGGAACTCGGACGCCAAGAGGCGGAGCTTGTCCGCCGTCGATACGACGGCGGGGCTCACCGGTGTCTCCGTCTCCATCACCGTCGCCGGCGATGAATTCACGGAGAATTCGCGCATTCGAGAGACAGGGTTCGACCCAAAATTCAGACTCGTGAATCTCGGAGATTTCAGAGAGAATCTGGGATTTCTGGGATGGAACGAAGCCTCCCTCGTGGGTCTGGTGCGAGGAGGAACAATCGAAGGAGGAAGAGAACCAAGGGACTTCATAGATGGTGAGGTCATGTTTGGGCAGAGAGAAAATGGAACGGAGAAGGAAAGAGAAAATGAAAGAAAATATGAGAAAATGTCGGAGAAAATAGAGGAGAGATTTTGAAGAACGCGAGGATAATTTGCAGAAAACGGAAGTGGAGAAGGAAGATTCACTAACGAGCCAAAAAAAGAACAACCTTTGCGATATGTTTAGAAAAAAAAAAAAAAACTAACCTTTGTCCAGTTGTAAGAAAAATCAAATTTGATTGTGTAATTGTCGTATTCATAAGTAGCATAATTAGCAAATAAAAAATCTAGACTTGGAATCCATTCATATAGTAATATTCAATATTAAATAAAATAGCAGAAAAGGGAATTATCTAGTTAAGACAATGAAGTAAGACTATTCAACGAAATAATTATTTATTTGATGCTTTTTCCAACAAAAAATAGGTAAAAAAAAAAGATGGTAGTGGGTGGCAAAAGGAGCACGAGAATTCCGATTTCGCCACTTCTATAAATCAATTCATTTTTGTGTCTCCAACTTGCATGAATTTTGATTTATTTATTTATTCATATATTATACGTATATGGGCATATGTGTATGGTATATCGATGTCGGGAAAATAGACACGTGTCCAAAAATTTATTAGTATTCCAAAAATTCAGATTTTAGATTTTAAAAATTAATTCCAAAATTTAGATATGTACGTCTAGTTTTCATGTACACAAATCAGATATAACCACATCCGATGTATAATATAGAAAAAATCATAGATGAATTGTTTTAAGGATAAAAATCACATTAAATTATAATTATATCTACCAAGCAATCTGGGAATCTGACGGCTAGGAATCGCCGCCATCGTGCACGTGCCAAAGTTTCCACCTACCTGCTTCCCATGAAATATGAAATATCTCACAATAAAATAAAATAATGCGATTGTGAAAAATAATAATAGAATCATGCAAAAGAGCATATTCCTCTAATGATTTTGGGAAAAGGGCTATGGATATAATATTTAATATTCTAAAAGATTTGATTTCATCATAGCTTACGTTATGCAACTTGAGAGTAGGATTTATTTCGAGATAAAAATTAAAATTATGTGAAATACATATAAAATGGATTAAAAATTATCACTTTTGGACTAATGTTATCTAATTCATGGATATACATTACATTATCTATCCTCATTACATTGAAGATTTTCAACAAATATTCATTTTGTAGTTTGAACTTTGAGCCACTAATTATGAATATATTGAATGTTTATTTGGTAATTTCAATAAGTGACATAAGATATAGACATTTTGGATTTTAGTTTGAATATACTTTACTTGTGTTTTAGATTAAAAACTATATACATATATATTAAAATTTTATCGGGATGAAGAGATTTTCTGGCGACAAAAGAGCCGTGCTCTTTGGTTACAAGAAGGCGACAAGAATTCTAAGTTCTTTCATGCTTTTACAAAGCATCGAAGAGCAGTGAATAAGATAACGTTTCTCCTAAATGACAGAGGAGAGGAAGTCTTCGATGAAGATGAGAAAGGGCGTGTAGCGGTGAAATATTTTGAGGATCTTTTCACATCTCAAGGACAAGATGATTCACAATTACTACACGAATTTCCTAGGAAAATAACAGAGGAAATGAATAGAGACTTGACAAAGCCAGTTACGGATGATGCAATAAATCCTGATAAAGCTCCGGGACCTGATGGCATGACAAGTGGTTTTTACCAGACATATTGGGATGAAATTAATCAAGATGTGGTGGACGAAGTAACACGATTCTTCAGTGTAGGAATCTTAGATCACAGGCTAAATCACACACACATCTGTCTCATTCCGAAGAAGGAAAAACCTACCAAAATGGTAGATTTCAGACCAATAAGTCTGTGTAATGTGGCGTATAAGATAATTTCAAAAATTATTTGTAATCACCTAAAGACTATCTTGACGGATATAGTAATGGAGACACAAGTAGCATTTGTAGTGGGGAGACAAATATCGGACAATATCCTGATAGCAAACGAGATTGCTCATGCTTTATCAACAGATCGAGTTTGTCAGAAATCGTTCATGGCAATTAAAACTTATATGAGCAAAGCTTATGACCGTGTCGAATGGCATTTTCTCAAGGAAGTGATGAAGGTAATGGGGTTCAATCAAACTTGGATCTCATGGATCATAACTTGTGTAACGACAATATCTTTCTCTGTTCTTATTAATGGACAACCGCATGGAAGTTTTGAGGCACAAAGAGGACTACGACAAGGGGATCCCTGATCTCTATACCTTTTTATTCTTTGTGCAGAGGTTTTATCATATCTCATTACAAGCGCAGAATCAAAAGGAAGATTGATAGGGATCCAAATAAAACCAACATGCCCATCCATCACGCATCTCTTATTCGCAGATGATTCGTTATTTTTTTGCCAAGCAAATCGCCAAAATTGTGAGACTATCACGGAAGTCTTACAAGTTTATGGAGCATTTTCTGGTCAGTTGGTAAATGTTTCTAAGTCCTCTGTAATTTTTGGTTCCCGAGTTCCGGGAGATATTAGAAATGAGTTGAAAAACATCTTGGAAATTGACAAAGAAGGAGGAGACAGTTTATACTTGGGATTACCAGAACAATTTGGGAGATCAAAAAGCAGTTTGTTTGCTTATATAAAAGATCGCCTACAAAGCTGCGTTAATGGGTGGTATGAACGATTTTTATCCCAAGGTGGGAAAGAGGTACTGCTTAAGTCTGTGGCTATGGCAATGCCTACATACGCTATGTCGTGCTTCAAACTACCGAAAGGTATTTGTAAGAAATTAAGTAGTGTATGTTCACGATTCTGGTGGAGCAAATCAAGCGATTCAAAAGGTATCCATTGGCTTTCATGGGACAAAGTTTGTCGTCACAAGAAAGATGGAGGAATCGGGTTTAGAGATTTTGAGAGCTATAACATAGCACTATTGGCTAAAAAATATGGAGACTCCTTCAAATGCCAGAATCTTTGCTTACTCGATTATATCGGGGTATATATTTTGCGAATGGAAAGTTCTTAATGCATCTCTTGGTAAGCGACCTTCATATGGATGGCGAAGTATTTAGTCGGCAAGATTCTTGATACTGCGAGGGTTAAAACGAGGTATTGGCTCGGGGTCACAAACAAATGCATGGATGGAGCCTTGGATTATGGATTATAAACCACGTGCAGGTCAAGGACCGGAAATATTATTGTGTCAGAATCTTAAGGTGTCTGAGCTAGTTGATGAAAATGGCAATTGGAAGGAAGATATTTTAGTCTCTTTGTTTAATCAAAGAGATGTAGAAATAATTTTGAAGATATGTCCGCCAAACCGTGTTTGTCAGGATGTCTATAGTTGGATCTTTACAAGACATGGATCGTATTCGGTTCGATCAGGATATTGGATAATGGAGAAAGTATTAAAAAAGGAGAACAAAGAAAATGCAGTGGAAGAACCTAGCTTCAACGATCTCTTGTCAAAAGTATGAAAGTTATCTATACCGACCAAAATTAAGGTCTTCCTGTGGAAGACTATCCATGGATGTCTGTCCGTGCAATCACGTTTGATGACGCGATTGCTTACAAAAGAATCACATTGTGTGATATGTAACTGTGCCGAGAAAACCATTAATCATGTTTTATTTGAGTGTCCTATTGCTAAGCAAGTCTGGTAGATGGGAATTTCTTTTGGAAATGATGATGGTTTTTCGTTTAGTTCGATTTATGCCAACATAGACTGGCTTCTCGCTCTAAGAAAAGGTACAGAACGTAAAGCTCGTAATTTTTTGATGTTTCCTTGGTATCTTTGGCGGATATGGAAGAACCGCAACGCACATATTTTTAATCAAAAGGAATATCGACCATTTGAGACAGTGGCAAAAATTAACGAAGACTATGCGGAGTGGCGAGCTACCACAGAGTGTAATGAAACATAAATAAATCATACAAGTCGGGAAATTATCCCGTGGATAAATCCCCCGATGGGTATGGTGAAATGTAATGTTGATGGATCGTGAAAAGCTCAAGATGATTTTTGTGGTATGGGATGGTTACTAAGAGATCATGAGGGTAAAGTTATTTGTTGGGGTGCCCGAGCAATACGGGCTTCTGAATCCCCTATGAAGGTAGAATTTTCCGGACTACTATGGGCGATGAAATGCATATTACAAAGAGGTTGTAGGGCTATGCGATTGGAGATGGATGCGAAAGAAGTTGTAGAAGAGATCAATAACAACAAGAAGTCGTTAAGTTGGCAGAGATATACTCAAGAAATTGAAGTGCTTTGGGAGAGGTTTCCGAGTATCAGTTTGACTCATATACAAAGGACTAGTAATTCTCCGACTGATGCGATTGCGAAATTTGCGTTGAATCGTAAATCTCTTTTTGTCTTATGTTCAAACTCCTGCCCTGAGTGGCTTTCTCGAATTGTAGCGAAGGATTGTCCTTCAACTTATTAATTTAATCTATTAATTTTTGTGGAAAAAAAAATTAAGATTTTAATTTATTTTTTTATTCGATTTACATTTTATTAATATAATTTTTTTAAAAAACGCATGTAGTTAGTTTTGAAGATAAAATTAAAATACGTTTATGTCTTACAGCTTCGTATGTGCAAAAAATAAATAAACGTCTTTAATAAAATATTCAAAATATGTATTCAAATCATTAATAAGTCAGACAATTTTGGACCCCATCCAATTTCGCATTTAGTGGACGATAAATGTTTCCAAGGTCAGAGAGTATTATTTGTCCGTGTTAGATTTCATTCAATTCGTTTTCAATTTTTAGTAATAACAATCTTTATTTTCTAAAAAAAATTACGATTTTTTTTTATTGTTAAAGAATGTTCAGGCAAAATATCCAAAATACCCTTCTTATGCTAAAACTACTTCTGCACCTACCCTTCTCCAATTGTGACCTTGTGACCAAAATAATTGTATGGTCACATGATGTCACATTGGTCACGACGTTAGATTTTTGATGATTTTATCAAATGATTAGTGTGATATGTAAGGTGTGATTATGATGATTTAATGTAATCACCATAAATTTAACGTTATGGTCAATGTGACCATCATGTGACCATACATAAATTCTGGTCACAAGGTCACAACTGGAGAAGGGTACGTACAGAAGTAGTTTTAGCAAAAGAAGGGTATTTTGGATAATGCCCCGAATGTTCGTTTATAAGAACATTGAAACTATCTTTTTTATTTGTTTTTCGGTTCAGATTCAATTTTTCGATTTTAAAATATTATAATCGTAAAGTTTTTATATCGAATTTGGTGCGATCACAAGCATTAATTTACTTTATACATATATATATATATATGTATCTACTTTTCCTGTTTAAATGTAAAAACTACATCGGATACATTAAGATGCGTGTCAAAATGTAACCAGTTGTTTAATTAAAATGATTGGAAACATGAATACGGATGTGCATAAATTATTTATTTTAAAATTATTTTGTCGAAAGTTGAAAATTTAATACTCCATATATTTATATGTATAATATATATATATATATATATGTGTGTGTATTGTTTAATTAAATCCATTATCCTGTCTTGGTAGGACTGCTTGGGGGGGAAAACGAAAATCTCAGTCAATTCCTGGTTAACACGCGCCATTGATAATGTCGATCTTCTTCTCCTCCACAGAGATTCCGCCATGGCTTCCTCTCCTTCTTCTTCCTCCTCTGCTTCTCCTCTTCGCTAAACTTCTTCGCTCTCCCAAGAATCTCCCTCCATGTCCACCGACCCTGCCTTTCATCGGAAACCTCCACCAGCTCGGAAATCTCCCCCACCGCGGCCTCCGAGATCTCTCCCGGAGATTCGGCCCCGTCATCACGGTCTTCCTCGGAAGCGTACGGACGGTAGTGGTTCACTCGCCGGAGACGGCGGCAGAGGTTCTGAAGATCCACGACATCGATTGCTGTACTCGCCCCAAATTGTCCGTCTCGAAGATCTTCTTCTACGACGGATTGGATCTTGGGTTTACGCAGTGGAGCGATTACTACAGAGATGTGCGTAAGCTCTGCGTTCTCGAGCTGTTCAGCGTTAAACGAGCCAATTCGTTCGGGTACGTGAGGACGGAGGAGCTGAGTCGACTCGTCGACTCGCTCTCCGAGTCGGCGGACTCGGGATCTCAGGTGGATCTGAGCGAGATGCTGATCAAGTACGTCGCGAACTTCACGTGTAGAGTGGCGTTCGGAATGAGCTTCAGCGGCAGCGGAATCGACAATGAGAGGTTCCTGGAGGTGTTCACGGAGGCGAACAGGGTGCTCGGAAAATTCGCGGCGGAGGACATTTTCCCGGTGGTCGGATGGATAGTGGATCGAATCACTGGGCTCGACGCCACTCGGAAGAAGAGCTTTCACGATCTCGACGCGTTTTTTCAGCAGACCATTGATGATCACCGGAAGAACAGGAAGAGCGAGGAAGGGCGAGAGGATCTAATCGACGTGCTCCTCAAGTTACAGAAGCAAGACACGAAGCTCGGATCGAAACTGATCACTGATAAGCACATCAAAGCCATTCTTATGGTGAGTTCTCGACCCATCTCATCTCTAAATTTATCGGATTGGACTGAACCAATCATTGCTTCGACCATATATATCGGATACCCATATGCCTAAATGTGTCTGGCAATAGATTAGCATGGGAGAATGATACAAGAACCGAGAGATAAGTTAACAGAGAACAGGTGACACGATACCCATTTGGTCTGAATGTAGTAATCACTATTTCAGGACATATTCTTGGCCGGGACAGACACTTCCTCGATCACCATAGATTGGGCGATGGCGGAGCTCGTGAGACACCCGCGAGTCCTGAAGAAGGTACAGGCCGAGATCCGAGAACGCGCAGGAGATAAAGGAGCGGTAACATACGAAGACCTCGGGGGTCTCGAATACATGAGAATGGTCATCAAGGAGACATGGAGGTTACATGCCCCATCCGTGATTCTGATACCAAGAGAAGCAATGTCCAAGTTCCAGATCAACGGCTACGACATCTACCCGGGAACTCGGGTCCACGTCAACGTCTGGGCGATTGGACGTAGCCCGGATGTTTGGAAGGAGGATCCGGACGAGTTTATCCCCGAGAGATTTGTCGGTAGGGACATCGACACTAAAGGGACAGACTTTGAACTCCTGCCATTCGGAAGCGGACGCAGAGGCTGTCCTGCGATGTATATGGGGCAAACGACGGTGGAATATACGCTCGCGAACCTTTTGTACCGTTTCAATTGGGAACTGCCGAAAGGGATGAAACCGGGAGATGTGAGCGTTGAAGAAGCACCTGGTCTCACCATCCACAGAAGGGACCCTCTCGAGCTTATCCCTGTCAAGTATCAAAGCTCTTTGAGAGAGGTTATCAAGGAATATTAGATGAATCATTTCTATTTAAAATAAATTTGGTATATTTTTTTCGTTGTTAATTCGAAAAGTTCATCGGATTTTCGACCAAATTGCATTTCCCTTAAACCGAGGAGATTGGTCGGATAATTACCACTTAAGATGACCTCCTCCCCACACAGGTGCTCGAACCTGGATTGTCGGGACTGAGTTTTTCTCTATTCCTTACCATTTGAGCCGTCGATCGGATAAATTTTGTATAATTTCAAAATATATAAATACTATTTGTGTTTGATATGAACGAGATAGGAAAAAAATTGTTATGGTTCGTTTCTTTTTTTTTTCTTTCGTTGTCAAAATGGTATCGGAGTTTCGAAACTCGTATTCAAGTATTCCAAATCCTCCTATGTCTGAATCTCTCATTTTTGAGCAACAAATTCCACGATATTTTCCAAAATCCGGCAATCCAATCCATGTTGCTACTAGATTTCCGGTTCATTCGGTTTCTGATTTCATCTTTGGTTTGAATCATGGTTTAGTTTGTTAGAATATTTTATAAATATTCGTAATTAATATGATTCAATATTGAATTTAAATCATGGATTTTGTAACGACAGAACCTTGTGATGTTAATTTCTGCATAAAGTTCTGTTAATTGTTTAACAAGTGGTATCAGAGCAAAACGATTATGTTTTATTAAGATCTTTGAAACAAATAAGAACGATAAGATGTGTACCTGAATATGTCTTCATATTGACACAAACGAAACCGGTTGTAGTCTTCTGAATCTTTATGCACTTTAAGACTTACAAACGAATGAGAAGAATGTAAGAATATTTTGTGGTTTTTCGCTATATGTATGATCCATGAACCACTACCATTTATAGATTTAACTATCTGATATTTCCTAAAACGCCTATCAAGTTATAGGAAATTACTTTTTGGTATCTCCATATTAGCTCCTAAACTTTATCGAAATTATGATTTAGACACATTTCATAAATGATCACATTTATACCTTATTAATAGCTAACGTTACAAAATTCATGATTTAAATCTAATACTGAATCATATTAATTGCGAATATTTATAAAATATTCTAACAATCTTCCACTTGATTCAATATATATGATTTTGGATTATTTTTAGAGAGCTCAACAACATACTATTATTTCGTAATTTTATTAATCTGGTCCATTGAACGTATAATATAGGATATTAGCATCTTTTATCATATTTTTTCAATATTGGATTTAAATCATGGATTTTGTAACGTTAGCTATTAATAAGGTATAAATGTGATCATTTATGAAACAATTTTAAATCGGTTAATTATGTGGTACATATGTGCGTATATTGATTGATTAAGAATTGTAAGATGTATTTTTATTTATTAAAAACAATGATTCACTCATAAACGTGTAAATATATCAGATCCAGTTGATATATTTTCTGTATATTGACGATTTTCAATACATACATATATATATATATATATGTGTTTGTGCGTGAAATCAAGTTTATATATATGGATATTGCTTTATATATATATATGAAAGAATTAATTTTCTATATTAGTTTTATCAGATAAAATGCATATGAGTTTACTTGGTTATTGATTTTGAATGAGACCTTACTTTGTCTTGTCTTGGGCATCTTGTCTCATGTTGTCTGCATATCATGTCATGTCTGATGTTGATTGTCACAACCATGAATTCAGTGTCCGAGTAATTTACCTTCGTAATTTGAATCTGTATGATCTGTATCCCTCTGTACGATATATTTAAGGCAATAACCAAATATTCAAATAAAAAAAATAATATTCGTTTTATTTTGGATATTTGTTTTTTGCTAAATCAGAAGCGTTTTTGGAAAAAGTTTCTAAAGAGTTTTATAGGTAACGGAAAATATTTGAAAATCTGCTAAAAGTTTTCCAATTATATGATTATTTGCTCATTAATTTCAGTTTTGTGAAATTTTATAAAACTGAAATTTAGCATTTGATTATAGGTATAAATCTCGAATTAATTATAGAAACTTGATATTTATAACCTAGAGAATTCAGTTTCAAAATTTATTTTTGAAGAACATCTGTTTTGATTTAATTTTATTAATGAGATTATATATGTTTTTGGCATATATTAGTTTCCGTTACAAATGTTATAATTAAGGTAATTGGGTTTGAGCCCATCAGTATTATTTTTTAAAAATTATATATATATATATATATAAATATTTGGGCTTGGAAGCCCATTACGGTATGGACATACGGATAAGGGCATGATAGCCCGATTTAGAACGGACAATTCGGACATACGGATTAGGGTTTGACCGCCTATTTCAGAACGGACGACTGCGAGTACACGTTGTGCGACTCATTTAGAGGCAGGTCGTGACTAGTTAGGCATAATAATTATGTTGAAGTATATTGGTTTGTACGTGATTACAAGTAATATATATACGTATATATATATAGATATATTTTGGCTTAATATTCAATTTTTTTTCTATATATAAGAAGGGAGAGGAGGTTTTCGTGTGTATATATATATACACGGAATAATGACAAATTAAGCTTTTAATATTCTATTTGATTAATTTGAGTTCTGATGTAAATAAAATTAATTCATCCAGAGAATATTATAAAGAATATTTTTAGGTATAAATTTCATGCGAAAAATTTATCAGCCCAAAAGAATGAATTTTTTGGGCAGAAATTTATTACATATATTAAGTAATAAATCAGAATATCATAAGGATTACATATGATTATTGAATCGACCCAAAGGAAGATTCAATAGATTATATGAGATATTCATGATTTGATTACTATGTCGAATATGCCACATACAAGTTGATTTTTGATCCAACGATAGAACGTCAATGTTGTATGATGTATCGTATGTGTTGTCATTATTTGCACGAAAGACTTTTTTTTCCTTTCTTTTCATTTAGCTATTGCTACCGCAATAAACATTTCAGCTTCGATGAATTCGGTCCCGATGCCTACGTGAAAAAATTTTAAGGCATGGAAAGAGAACCTCATGATAGTTCTCGGTTGTATGGATCTGGATTTGGCCATGCGTGTTGATGCTCCTGCTGATCTTACACCGGAAATTATCGAGGATCAGAGAAAGGAACATGAACGTTGGGAGCGTTCCAATCGTATGTGCCTAATAATCATGAATAATACAATTCCAAAGGTTTTCCGAGGTTCCATCTATGATGATAAGAATGTGAGTAAGTTCATGAAAGTAGTAGCGACTCGTTTTCAAAGAAATGGGAAGTAGGAAACAAACTCGCTTTTGATGAAACTAATTTCCAAAAGGTACAAGGGAAATGGGAACATCCGGGAATACATCATGGAGATGTCTGATCTTGTTTCACAGCTCAAGTCACTCAAGATATATTTGTCTGATGACTTACTACTGCACTTGATATTGCTGTCTCTTCCTGCACAGTATGAATCCTTTAGGATCACATACAACAAGCCAAATGGTCTCTCAACGAGCTCATTTCTCATTGTGTGCAAGAAGAAGAATGATTGAAGCTTGAGAAACCCGAAAGTGCTCATCTTGCGGTCTCTAGGAAGGACAAGAATAAGAAACGTCCTCAGAAAAGGGATGTTGCTAATGGTCCTATCAAGAAGATACAAAAAAAGCAGGATAAGAGTGGCATGTACTTCTTTTGTAAGAAGATGAGACACATGAAGAAGGATTGTACTGACTATCATGGATGACTTGCAAAGAAAGGTAAACTTCTTACTTTGGTTTGTTCTGAAGTTAATTTAACTTCTGTACCACGATACACTTGGTAGATAGATTCTAGTGTTACTACTCACATAAGTGTATCAATGCAGGGTTGCCTAAGCCATCGGAAACCAAGTGATGCTGAAAGATTCATCTATGTAGGTGACGACAATAAAGTTGAAGTGGAGGCTATTTGCATTTTTAGATTATTATTGAGTTCTGGTTTTTATTTAGATTTGGATGAGACATTTGTTGTACTGTCATTTAGATAGAATTTGGTTTCTAATAATACATTGGACAAATTTGGTTATTCTTGTCCCTTTGGAAATGGTTTATTTCGTATTTTCCGTGTTCGAATTTACTTGATACTTGTACTCTCTCTAATCATGATAATCTATATGTGCTTGATACAATTACTTCATATCATGAAACATTGCATGTTAAAACCCGTGGTACAAAGAGAAAATTAGATGACAAGATTTCTGCAAACTTATGGCATAAGCGATTAGGTCATATATCCAAACAAAGGATAGATCGCTTAGTTGCAGATGTAATTCTTGACATATCCGACTTAACACATTTTCAAGTATGTGTTGAATGCATTAAGGGAAAACAAACAAACCAAAGACGGTTAGGTACAAACAGAAGCAGTGATGTCTTAGAACTAATACATATGGATATTTGTGGACCATTTCCTACAGTATCTTGGAATGGTCAACAATATTTTATTTTGTTCATAGACGATTACTCAAGATATGGATACTTGTACCTAATATATGAGAAGTCCCCAGTTTTGGACATATTCAAATCGTATAAATCTGAAGTAGAGAATCAACTAGGCAAAAAGATTAAAGCAGTAAGATCCGATCGTGGTGGCGAATATTATGGTCGCTATGATGGATCTGGTGAACGTCTTGGTCCTTTTGCAAGATTCCTTGATGAATGTGGAATAGTACCTCACTATACCATACTTGTAACTCTAAGTATGAACAGTGTATCTGAACATAGGAACATGACTCTTAAAGATATGGTAAGGAGTATGATAAGTCACTCTACATTACCAGAGTCATTATGGGGAGAAGCGACTAAAATCGCTGCATATATCCTCAACAGAGTTCATACAAAAGCAATTAATAAGACCCCTTATGAACTTTGGACGGGTAAGAAACCAATCGTAAAGCATTTGCATGTATGGGGTTGTCCAGCAGAAGCAAGGTCTTACAAACCATCAGAAAAGAAACTAGACCTGCGTACAATTAGTTGTTATTTTGTTGGGTATTCAGAAAAATCCAGGGGATACAATTTTATGATCCCAAAAACAGATCGATATTCGAAACTGGAACAACCCATTTCTTTGAGGATGTTGAGTTTGAGAGTGGAGATAAGGCGTGAGAAGTTGCATTTGAGGAAAAATATGTTCATCTTCCCATAATAATTGGTCATGATATAACACATCTAGGTCAATCGGATAACATGCAACTCCCCAAACTAACTCAAGAGGTTCTTCCGGATAAACCAATTCAAGAGGTTATTCCGGATGAACAAATTCAAGAGGTTATTCTGAATGAACAACCTCAACAACCTTAAGAACAGTTGGCATCAAGAAGGTCAACTAGAGTAAGGAGAAGTGCGATTCCAGACGACTATGTCGTATATCTCCAAGAACACGGAGAAAATGTTGGATTATTAGAAAATGATCCAATAAATTTTCGTCAGGCTATGCAAAGTTCAAACTCTCAAAATTGGCTTGAAGCTATGAATGAAGAGTATAAATCCATACAAGACAACAATATCTGAGAACTTGTTTCATTAGCTGAAGATATCAAACCCGTATGTTGCAAATGGATATTTAAAACAAAATGGGATTCTACAGAAAATGTGGATAAGTATAAAGCTCGTATTGTAGCAAAAGGATTTACACAGAAAGAAGAAGTTGACTATAAAGAGACTTTCTCTCTGGTATCTTCGAAAGACTCGTTCAGAACAATAATGACACTTGTAGTTCATTATGATTTAGAGTTACACCAGATGGATGTAAAGACATCGTTTCTTAATGGAGACATTAATGAAACATTAATCTATATGGTACAACCAGAAAACTTTATGATCGGAGATTCAAAGGAAATGATTTGTAAATTTAAGAAATCTATCTACGGGCTCAACAAGCATCCTGCCAATGGTATTACAAATTTCGACAGATTATTTGTTCATACTGACTTGAAACAAATGTTGTAGAAGAATGTGTATACTACAAGTTCGTCTTATTAATATTGTATGTTGATGACATACTAATTGCCTCTAATGGTATAGGGATGTTAAATGGGACTAAGGCTTTCCTGTCAAAGAACTTTGAAATGAAAGATCTGGAAAATACCGCTTTTGTATTAGGAATTCAAATACATCGAGATAGAACTCGGGGTATACTTGGATTGTCTCAAAAGAACTATATGAAAAGAATATTAATAAGGTTTGAGATAAAAAACTGTAAAGAGGGGAACACACCCATTGCTAAAGGAGATAAATTTTATCTTGCGTAATGCCCAAGAAATGAATTAGAGCAAAAACAGATGCAGAGATTCCTTATGCATCGGTTGTAGGAAGTCTCATGTATGCTCAGGTGTGTACACGTTCGGATATTACGTATGCAGTTGGGATGTTGGGAAGGTATCTACATAAACCAGGGATGGATCATTGGAAAGCAACAAAACGGGTTTTAAGATACTTAAAAAAACCAAACATCATATGTTAATCTATAGAAAATCAGAAAATTTAGATCATTGGTTATACAGATTCTGATTTTGCTTGATACCAAGACAGTCGTCGATCCACGTATGGTTATGTTTTTCTATTAGTTGGTGGAGCTATATCATGGAAAAGTGTTAAACAAACACTCACGACAGCTTCAACCATGGAAGCATAATTTATAGCATGTTATGAGGCATCTAATCATAGAGTATGGCTGCGAAATTTTATCACAAGGCTGCGAATTATGAATAAAATAGAAAGACTACTTCGACATTAAATGAAAACGAAAATAAGTATTACAACATGGGAACCCGTATGATGGGTTTGAGTTCGGATTTCAAAAATTTAGAAAACAAGTATACGATGATACCGTATATATATGAAAAAGATAAAATTATTTTTATATTTCTAAACTATTTACCAAAATATCTAGAATTTTATAATGTTTCTATCATCCGAACTCTTTCAAATTTCAAAATCATTTAATATTTTTGAAAAAAAATCTATAAATATATGCATATTTTCATATTTTAAGAATTCTTAAACTCCAAAAGTGTTTTCAGATCAAAATATTATTATTTTACTGGATATTTAGTTTAATTTTAGAGTAAATGTTATGCATACGGATACAAATATTCACAGATACCCATCTAATAAATATTTGAATGTTACGAATTAAATATAGAAATAATATTTATATAAAATCCACAAAGATGAAAACGAATACAGATATTTTCAAAAAATTCGAATATTCAACCCGTCTCCACCTCTAAAACGTAGACCCAATGGTGCAATGGCACGTTTGTCTTGTGTGCAGATTTCAGAGTCCACACGATCTTTACCAATCAAAAATGTCTATTTTGATGGAAAAATTTGACAAATTTTATATGCATCTTTTTCTTTCACATGTAAAATAAATATTTTTAAATATTTAAATTTATTAACTAATTTCTGATCATAATTTGTGGACAAATAAGTCAAATGTTCACTTTTTGTGGTCTCCCTCTCCCTTGCCGGTAACGTCCACCGTAATAGTTTCATTGAAAAGAAACCCTTGAAAATCCAAGACAAACTTTTTTAATTATCTTATTTATTAAAAACGGTTGTATCTTAAAAAATTTATTACAAAGAACATCACTTAAAATCATAATTTTTTATTTTATTTTAAATGACTATAAATTATTATTCATATACAATTAAACCATTTATCGTATTTTATTCAATAAAATTTATTTAAAAAAATCAATGATGGTTTGAAACATCTAAATACTAACAAAATTTTATGTACAATTATCAATTCAAATAATACAATAATATATTCCAAAAATTTCTATAACAATTTTAATTCTGTTTATCAGAAATATAAATTGAAGTAGTTTTTCCATATACAAAATTAAATAGTTGACATTATTTTTCTACTTAACACTTACAGTGTCAAATAAATACATATAATTTGTTTGACCACCATCTAATTCAACTGAATTTTTTTTTCTAGAAACTAAACAATTAATGTTTTTAAATAATTAAAACTATTAAGTAGTTTTGTGGAACATAAATATTTTTTTTATCGAATTGATGATTGTGATTATTAAAATTTAATCGTGACCCATTTCGATTTGGTGTTCCAAACATTCAATTTCATTTTTATAAAAAAAAATTAGTGAATAAATATAATATATTGTATGATTTATATATCTAAATTAATTATATAAACGATCTACGTATTGGTATTGGTTTTACTCTCAACTTGAGCATCGGTGAGAGTTCATGGCAACGGCATCAGCAACATCGATCTTCTTCTCCACAGAGATTCCGCCATGGCTTCCCCTCCTTCCTCCTCTGCTTCTCCTCTTCGCTAAACTTCTTCGCTCTCCCGAGAATCTCCCTCCATGTCCACCGACTCTCCCTTTCATCGGAAACCTCCACCAGCTCGGAAATCTCCCCCACCGCGGCCTCCGCGATCTCTCCCGGAGATTCGGCCCCGTCATCACCGTCTTCCTCGGAAGCGTACGGACGGTGGTGGTTCACTCGCCGGAGACGGCGGAGGAGGTTCTGAAGATCCACGACATCGATTGCTGTACTCGCCCCAAATTGTCCGTCTCGAAGATCTTCTTTTACGATGGGTTGGATCTTGGGTTTACGCAGTGGAGCGATTACTACAGAGATGTGCGTAAGCTCTGCGTTCTCGAGCTTTTCAGCATTAAACGAGCCAAATCGTTCGGGTACGTGAGAACGGAGGAGCTGAGTCGACTTGTGGTCACGCTCTCCGAGTCAGCGGACTCGGGATCTCCGGTGGATCTGAGCGAGATGCTGATCAAGTACGTCGCGAACTTCACGTGCAGAGCGGCGTTCGGATTAAGCTTCAGCGGCAGTGGAATCGACAACGAGAGGTTCCTGGAGGTGTTCACGGAGGCGAACAGGGTGATCGGAAAATTCGCGGCGGAGGACATTTTCCCAGTGGTCGGATGGATAGTGGATCGGATCACTGGGCTCGACGCCACTCGGAGGAAGAGCTTTCACGATCTCGACGCGTTTTTTCAGCAGACCATTGATGATCACCGGAAGAACAGGAAGAGCGAGGAAGGGCGAGAGGATCTAATCGACGTGCTCCTCAAGTTGCAGAAGCAAGGCACGAAGCTCGGGTCCAGAATGATCACTGATAAGCACATCAAAGCCATTCTTATGGTGAGTTCTCGATCCATCTCATCTCTGAATTTATCGGATTGGACTGAACCAAATTCTCGGACACGCATTTGGTCTGAATGTAATCTCTCTTTCAGGACATATTCTTGGCCGGAACAGATACGTCCTCGATCAGTATAGATTGGGCCATGGCAGAGCTCGTGAGACACCCTCGCATCTTGAGGAAAGTACAAGCCGAGATCCGTGAACGTGTAGGAGATAAAGGAACGGTAACATACGAAGACCTCGAGGGTTTCGAATACATGAGAATGGTCATGAAGGAGAGCTGGAGGTTACACGCACCAGGATCGATTCTGATTCCGAGAGAAGCCATGACCAAGTTCCAGATCAACGGCTACGATATCTACCCAGGAACTCGGATTCACGTCAACGTCTGGGCGATTGGACGTAGCCCAGATGTCTGGAAGGAGGATCCGGACGAGTTTATACCCGAGAGGTTTGTGGATAGCGACATCGACACTAAAGGGACAGACTTTGAACTCTTGCCATTCGGAAGCGGACGCAGAGGTTGTCCTGCAATGTATATGGGGCAAACGACGGTAGAATACACACTCGCGAACCTTTTGTACCGTTTCGATTGGGAATTGCCGAAGGGGATGAAACCGGAAGATGTGAGTATTGAAGAAGCACCTGGTCTCACCATCCATAGAAGGGATCCTCTCGAGCTTATTCCCGTGAAACCCTAACAACTATATAGTAAAGGGTATAGCTTCTCATGATGTTGGGGTTTGTTCAATACACATAGGAAAAAGAAAAGGAAGATCCTTTTGTGTGAATGTTTTCGAATAGAAATCGGAATAATTACAGAGAAGACACAGTAAGTAATAATACCAGTTTCTCATAGTAGAGGTTCAGACAGTTCCATCTCATTTGAAATCTGATGTTCTGTCTCACCTCCTCCACGAGCTCCGACGAACTGGAGGCCGAGCCATTGCCATGGCCAACACACGTATCTCGCACTGTTTCTATTGATGTTGTCCCGACGGGTTTCTAGTTCTTCCACCTGTCGGCTTAGCTGCTCAACCCTTTCCCTTAACTTGGTAGCCCTTGAGTCTGCCAGTCTCAGAGATTTCTCGGCTGCACCCCTAGCCGCCATGGCTGCAGCTGCTGTCTCTTCCTTGAACTTTAGCTTCTTCCCCGATTCCAACATTGCTTGCTTTGCTTCTTCGAGTTCTTGTCGAAGTGCTGCGAGCTGAACAAACGAAATTATCGAACCCTGTAAGAGTTGAGACCCCGGAACCGGGCTGCAAGAAGAACAGAGAATGAAGTGAAACCTGTGACATGTAGTCTTGCTCAACGGCTTTTCCAGCGGCGGCCTCTTCCTCCGCTGCCGCTTTCCACCGCGTTATTTCTTCTTCGGCCGCAGCAATATCTGTCATAAGCCCTTCGACCTATCACATCAATGGACAAAGGTCAAAAAAACCAAACAAAAACTCATGTCTTTATATTTGTCATAAAGACAATTACACTCACACTTTCATTTGCTATTCTCTCCTTTTCTTTAAGTTCTTCTATTTGGCGTGTTCTTTGGTTAAGCTCCTTCGCCTGGGCGTCTAATTGTTTCCTAAGTAGATTGGCCTCTTCCCTGATTGGAGAATGAAAAAACAGAGTAAGTACAAGAAGAACCAACAGAAGCAAGCGTACAGATAACAATGGCTACAACAAAGCAAGCATATAGACACACACACACACATATATATATATAAAGTGATTTCCGAGGAACCCAGGTTAGAAATCAGTATGTATGATACTATGGACAAGCATATGAGGTGAAGGTTATTGTATCGAAACAAGGCTATTTCAAACTATATCCCTGCTAGGTCAATATAAGCATTTGGCTTTCCTAGAGGGCTTACCTTAATTCTTCCACAGAGCGTTGTAGCTCGAGGATCTCGAGCTGAGATGCCTTGACGATATTCTCCAACGTACCAGCCTGCATCGGGTAAGGAGACAGCATATATAAGGAAACCTAGAACAACACAACTCCGGGAAAAAAAGTCTAGTTTTGAATTATTAACCCGGATGGGAGTAACCTACCAAGGAGTATATTTCGTTTTCTTCCGTACTAGAATCATCGGCATTATCCTTCCCCTCCTCTAAGAGTTTACCGAACTTGATATCTATTCCAGCATCTTTCAGGCCATTCTCTGCAGCTTTCAGCATTTCACTCGTTTTGGATGACTGTTCAACTATCATCCTCTTTGACAAAGCACTCTTAAGTAAACTACCGATATGTCCCTTCTCCTTAACTAACCGACCCACTGTCTCGTTCAAGTTCTTCAGTTCATGACTCTTCTCCTCGACCAAATGCCTTGTCTTACCCCCAACCACTTTTGTTAATTCAAAGATGGATTCCATCCCTGCCAAAGAAGCCCGGATGTTTTCTTCGATCTCTGTCTCTTGCGGCATGAACAAAGACTCGGACAGATCTGATTGCTCTGAATTATCCCCGTCAAGAATCCTCGTAACTTCGTAAAGCTGGTCATGGATCCTGGACACAAACTCCAGCTGATCCATCAACAATGGCCGCTGAGCTTCCATCTTCTGTTCCAAAGCCTTCAGCTTTCCATCATACTCATTTACCAATAGCTTTAGCTCAGCCGATTCACCCTCCAATATGCTCACTTTCTCCGATATATCTTTCTCAAGCTCGGAGATCTTCTTGTCTTTATCTGTCACATTGCTTTTCAAGTCCTCGATGATCGAGTTTTTCTCCGTCACATCAACTCGCAAATTTGCGATTGTGGCTTCCAACTGAGAAACCTCGATAGCAATCTCGTAATTGCGTTGCTCGATCTGTTCCCTGGCTTCATTCCTCGACTTTGCAGTCGTGTCGATCTGCCTGACAAGCTCCTCGACGATATCGTTTGTCCGTTTGATAACTCCATAAGCTACCGAAGCCAATCCTGTGTATTTCTGCGACTTTGGCAACCCTCCGTTGGAAAAGTTCTTAAAGTTGCTTACTTTACCAGATATCTTCTCGATCCCAGAAACCAACATATGCGCAGAATTCTCAATCTCGGATTTCAACCCATCTCTAGCTCTCACAGCTTCATCCAGCTGCTTCGAAATCTCATCTCTCCGCCTGGACAATTCATCTTTACCCCTCTTTGAATCCTCCAGTTCCTTGGACAAATTCTCGTTCTCCCTCAACGCTTCATCTCGTTCTCGCTTGCACTCGTCGCGCTTTCGAATCGCCTCGTGAGCGAGAGCTTTCAACCGATTGAACTGTACCTGAAGCTCCGACTTCGAACTCTCCGCGGCTTCACGCGCTTTCCTCTCGTGATCGAGCTCAGCGAGAAGCTCCTTCAACCTCTCCGCCGACAAATCTTCCCGCGGCGGATCCTTGATGACGATCGGCGCCGGTTCGTCGGACTCCAAATCGCTGAGTACGGCATCGGCGTCCTCATCGGCACCGTTAGCCATCACACACACACCCCTACCTTCGAGCACCAAACACGATTTGCGTTCGCCCCAAATCCCACGCTACAATCTAGGGTTTTTTTCTCCTAAAAGTGACGTGCAAACAAAGTGACGAAATCGCTTCGAGCAGATGCCAAATAGAGAGCGAAACCAGATCGCAATCAAACTCCTACCAAACAGTAAGCCTTTGACCCTCAAACGGAGATCGCCAATGGCAGTAGAGAGAAGCTCGAGCAGATCGGAGACGAGATGGCGACGGCGGCTTAAAATCTGGTGACGGAAACTTGCAATCTGGCGACCGCTGCTGCTACGGCGACGGGGGCAATGGAAAGGCAACAAGCGCAGAGGCGACAGAGGACAAATCGAATCAATCTCGGGCTCGGGTCTGTTTTATATTTTCACAGAAATTGGAAACAGATTATTAGGACTAAAAACACATTAAAGATAATCAAAATACGTTATATTAAACTTAATTAAAAACCATAATCAGCTACGATTTGGCGCAGCGGCATGGTTTAGGCTGACATCTCTTAAGCCGCCACGTGTAAACTCGAAATCACGTAATCTAATCGAACGGTCGTAAAGAGGCATACTTGATCCTAAGTGCATCTCGGCCGTCCATCATGCAATTGATAGCTTCAACTTAATAAACATTTTTAACGGATAAATAATTAACGATTAACTTCGATGATGATGAGCTAAATTCATCATAAATCACACATTCTTGATTACAGGATATTACATTCATGTCATTTTCAATGCATATATTAACTTAGACATGATGATGATGATGATGATGATGATGATGATGATTCATAAATCACACAAATCTTGATTGCAGGACATTACATCCATGCCATTCTCATGCATATATGATAAACTCAGACACGAGGTTCAAGCTTAACCATGAGACCATTCTTCATGTACAACGTTGTCGTCAGTTTCGGGACGATGTCCTGTCCGTGGACGAGTTTAATGGAATAGTTCATCAGGATTGAAGCAGCCACCATTTTCATCTGCATATACGCAAACTTCTTCCCCACGCAAAGCCTCGGCCCGGCATTGAACACGGCGTACTTGAACTGGTTCTGCATTCTCAGCTTGTTGCCGTCTTCGATCCATCTCTCGGGTTTGAACTCTCCGCAGTCTTTTCCCCATATCGATTCCATCCTCCCCATCGAGTAGATCGAGTAGTGAATCCTCGCTCCTTTCTTCAGCTTCGTCCCGTCCGGAAGAACATCGTCTTCCTGCGCTTGTTTCATCTCCATTGGCACCGAAGGGTACAGCCTGAGAGATTCCGTCAGTGCAGCTTGCAGGTACACCATTTCTTTAAGCTCTTGAGGGTCGAAGAAATCCCGGGTTTTGTTCCGAACTTGTCTGATTTCAGTCAGAATCTTCTTTTCCACTTCTGGGTGTGTCTGAATCAACCAGAAGAACCAGACGAGTGCCACTGAAGTGGTGTCCCGGCCGGCTATGATGAAGCTAGTGCAGAATTCTCTGAAGTACTTGTCTGAAAAGTACTGAGATCGGAAGAATCGTTCAAGCTCCCGAGCTTCCTCAGCTTGATTCTTCGGTCCCTCACCGTCTTGTCTGCAAACACGTGGACGATTCTGACAGCTTTCCTGAGCTTCTTCTCGTGTCCGATACCCAGAAACCGCATAGGCTTCCAGACGAAAGGCGGTAACAGAAACCTTATGAGAGTGTACTCTGTAGCCTCCTCAAAGGCCTTGGCAAAGGGGATTTCGGGTAAATCGATAGCCAGGGATCCCGGGTCAACCCCGAAAGCTGCGCCACAGATGTTATCGAACGTGAAACGGAGGAGGACGTCTTGAAGATCGAAGCTTTTCCCGGAACTAGCCATCTTCTCCATCAAAGTCAGGAGCTCTTCCTTCACCAGATCACGCATCGTCGCGTAAGAATGATCCGAGAAACGGGCGGAATGCATCTCCATCTTCGCCACACGTCTCTCCTCCTTCCAGAGCTCATCGTCGGCGTTGAAGATCCCGTCTTCGAGAAGATCTCTGAACCTCTCTCTGTAGAACTCGCCCTTTGGGTAATTCTTGAAATTGGTCTTGAGGATGTACTCTATGTTCACAGGATCCACGGTCATGATCCCGTACGACCCACCAAACCAGACCCCTCTGTAATGGAAAGTCCCGCCGGCTTTGGCCAGAGCTCCAGTGCACCAGTCGAACAGATCGTTCCTGTGGACGATGAGAGACGGCAGGATCCCCAGCACGGGCCACGACATTGGCCCGGCCTTGTTCGATAACTTCTCGCGCAAGCAACTGAGAAGAAACAACACGGACAGGGCGAGAACGACGTCTGAAAACCTCAGGTGAGCGTAAACCCACTCGAGTATGGAAACCGCCGTTTTCATCTCCATGATTTGGATTCTCTTGAAACTTTTTTTTTTTAATCTCACTGGTGGTCACTAACCAGAATGTGTTCATGAAAAGTTCATGTGATGAATTCTCGGTGGATGATGATCCATGTGGGTATAAGTAACCGAAGCAAAGATAGAGGCGTGATTAATGGTAACACCAACTTCATTTGACGTCTTAAATCACATTAACTGTGACCTTAATTGAATTGATGAATATGTGTGTGTGTGTGTGTATCATAATAATAGCGGTTATCACTTGCACTTTCTTGATTTGCTTTCTTATCCCTTTTAGGACAGGACCAAGCATTCATCCGAATGTCCCCATGAATGTGTTTTATGTTTCAGATGGATTTCTCATTATCCATGAATCAAGAACACAAGTATAATTTTACTCATAGACTACTCGAAAAAAATCGGAGTATTTGGATTCGTATTTGAGGCTTACGGTTATCCAGGATACGAATATCCACAACAATGTTTGGGTACTCGTTTGTATTCGGATCCGAGATTATTTAATGAAAAACAACAATAATTACATAGAAAACTTGACAAAAACGAAGATGTGATTATAAAGATGGATGAATGTAGTCAAACCCGAAGATAAAAAGAGTTGGTGAAACATAAATAATAATAAGTTCAGTATTTTTTTTAGATGATGTTGAGAAAAGAGAAATCGTTTAACCGAAAACAGTTGCATTTTATCAAAATATTATAAAGATGTAGGATATATCTTTATAACAAAACTATTCGAATATCCGTGAGTAACCATTTTAAAGAAATTTTATTACCCATATTCAAATTCGGATTTGCGGGTGTTTGCTCGGATTTGGATTTGAATGAAAATGAATACTCTAAAATCGGATATTCGCGGATAACCGGTTTCTGGTTAAATTTGTCAGCACTAGCTTGAGACTCAGAATGATATGATCATATTAATTGATAACCACCGGCCGGGGAAGAATTGGTGAATCTACTACCATGATGGGTTTTAACTTCCAACCACCTAAAGTTTCAAAATTTAATAACAGTCCACAGCAAAAAAGTTTCAGAATTTGTGTAAATTTTGGACAAAACAGGGTGAAGTGGCGCATTGGTTTCATAGTGATTAAGGACCAAAAACGAGGAAAACTCCACCAGATTTGGTTTCTGATGCTGAAACCCTCTTTTGCTTGGAATCTTTTTCAGAAGAGGGAAAAAGGCATTTAGTCTATGAAACCACTATGGGTCCCCCCTTTCTATCCTTCTTACCGGAACAGATTGCTTTGCATGGCAAACACTTTCGAAGCTAACATTCTTCACACAGGTCTGGGACAAGTTATAGCAGTGATGGTTAGGTCCTCTGCTTTCTGGTTCTCCTGTATGATCATGGGTCGGACCGATATTCGGGTTATAACTTATAACCCTTGTATACATGCTTTCTCCCTTGTATGAGAATGTTTCTGCAGTGAAAAAAGAGGAAAAGTATGTTAGTTTAAGACATTAGAGAAAGGAAAAGTGGTGAAACATGAAAGGAAAAAAGATAAAGACAAGTGGTGGGCTTTGAATAGATTCCAGAGAGATTGTTCAACACTCTTTAGTTCTAGAGACCCTACTGACTTCAACTAAGACAAGCATATATGTTGTCTTGCCACTTATACAAAGGCAAACACGCTCACTCATCTCTGCAACAACTGTCTGAAAGCCTTGACATTGTCGGTAGAACCGAACAGAGTATAGGTTTCTGGTTAAAAACATGGCCATGAGATTAGCTGGGAATGACGGGTTTTGGAGCAGCTTGTCTGTTCTGAATGAAGATACCCTAATGCAGAGTCTTCTCCTTGGTCATGTTCCTGATGGCCGCTGGCTTGATTCTGAAATGATGCTTCAGGAAGTCGAAAACATCATGCACATTGCTTTGGAGAATGAAGTGAGCTATTTTTTGCCAAACCCTGTCTTCATTTCATCGAAAACCCGACAAACTGCTTGTTGCTCATATAATCATGCCATGAAACTTTCAGGTTTCTAGCCCACCTATGAGTTCTGAGACCTGGAACTGTATCAGCGGCATTGAAGTGGTTGAATCAGTGGAGACACTGCCTTGTACAATCTCCAGAGTCTCCCTTCAGGTAAAAAAATAAAATCGATCCCTTTTTCTCATCATAACCGTCCTACCTATAAAAACAAGAACCGAAACTAAGTAGCTTGAGAATTGCAGATGCTTTGTCAATGCACAGGGGAAAGGGATATTCAGACAAGAACAATGGCCGTGTTTGATCTTCTGCGAAATTATCGATGGGATGTGAAAGTTGTGATAGTACTAGGAGCTCTGGCTGAGACATATGGAAGACTCTGTCTACCAAAACACCTTAGCTCCTCTGATCCTGTGGCAGCATCGGTTGCAATCCTCAACTGGTTGCCTTTCAATACAAGCAAGTTCAGCACTTGGCTTAAATCTCTGAGCTTGCTGGTTAGGGCTATGGTAGATGTGACTAAATGCATCATTGGGTTTGAAAGACTGCCAGTGAAACAGGCAAATCCAGACAACAACGTTGTGGGAGAAACCGCATCTCAAGTCTATTTAGCTGCTTACTGGGTTGTCAGAAGTGCAATCACATGCTTGATGCAGATCGCCTATTTCAAGCAATCCCAGCAAGTGCATGTTTTCCCCCCTCTTCTATCACACCCTGCAAAAAAAAAATAACACAATTATTCACTACGTCTATGTTAACATCATATTAGGCAATTCATGATCAGATTTTCTCATGGGCAAGATTTTTGTGCAATTAACAGGCATCAGATTCGAGGATAGCAATGAGGGAATTATCAAGTTTAGGATATCGGTTGACCAGCATGCAGATCAGTCTCAAGGAGCAGGTAGAAGAATGCTATGAACAAATAGGTAATCTTCGGAATGTTTGGTTCCAGAAACACAACTTCTGTCAAAAGCAAAAACCCTAATGCCAAAGGGGCTTGTCTGTTGCCACTTGTAGAGGAAGAAATCTATTGGAAACTTCACAACATTTTCACAGAGAATAGTGAAGATAACCAAGCGGTACTTCAACTGCTGTTTTCACTGCAGGATGACTTCCCACTTCAAGATTTCTCCAGACAGGTATAAAGAATCTTTCTTTCTCTTTTCCCTCTCTCTCTCTCTCTAACCTTTTCCTATTCTATTCTTCTTGTTTTCAATCTTTTAGCTTTATTTCCTTCTGAGAAACATCATCTTCTACACTCCAGTTGGATTTAGATAAAAATGGAACGGAGTATTCAGCGAGACAATATTACAGAATCCTTATGCTTTATAAGTAGGAATATTCACAGTCCAAATACTTCTAACCTTCCTTCGAAACATAATCTTGATTTCGCCAAAGTATCTACACTTGAAAGCTGGACAATCTCTTGTGTTTTACGTCGAATTTCAAAATCCAATGGCAGATAGCTATAACTGAGCTGAAAGATAAGGTCATATTGCTGCTACTATCAAAGCCAGAGCTCCTACCTCTAGAGCAACTTCTCTTCCTACTTCAACAAACATATGACCATCGGTCCAAGGTTGAGAGCAACAGAAACTACGACATTATATGGATTCCAATTCCATCATCCACAAGATGGACAGATGAAGAGAAGGGAATCTTCAAGTTCATCTCCAACTCCCTCCCGTGGTGCTCAGTCAGGCGGCCATGGCTGATGAGCTCCACGGTGGTGAAGTTTATGAGAACAGAATGGAATTACAGAGACGGTGAGACAATGATGGTGGTGCTGGATTCTAATGGAAGGATTGTAAACATGAATGCCATGGATATGGTGCTTATATGGGGTGTTAGGGCATACCCATTTTCAATTTCCAGAGAAAACGAGCTCTGGGAAGAAGATGGATGGTCCATGCAGCTCCTGCTTGATAACATTCATCCTGCGTTTGAAACATGGGTAAGATAAATCTCTACAATTTTACAACGACCCTTCCTACCCTTTTCATCTAATGATTAAATTTCTGTTCTTCTGGTGAAATTATATGTTATAACTTATAACCCTTGTATACATGCTTTCTCCCTTGTATGAGAATGTTTCTGCAGTGAAAAAAGAGGAAAAGTATGTTAGTTTAAGACATTAGAGAAAGGAAAAGTGGTGAAACATGAAAGGAAAAAAGATAAAGACAAGTGGTGGGCTTTGAATAGATTCCAGAGAGATTGTTCAACACTCTTTAGTTCTAGAGACCCTACTGACTTCAACTAAGACAAGCATATATGTTGTCTTGCCACTTATACAAAGGCAAACACGCTCACTCATCTCTGCAACAACTGTCTGAAAGCCTTGACATTGTCGGTAGAACCGAACAGAGTATAGGTTTCTGGTTAAAAACATGGCCATGAGATTAGCTGGGAATGACGGGTTTTGGAGCAGCTTGTCTGTTCTGAATGAAGATACCCTAATGCAGAGTCTTCTCCTTGGTCATGTTCCTGATGGCCGCTGGCTTGATTCTGAAATGATGCTTCAGGAAGTCGAAAACATCATGCACATTGCTTTGGAGAATGAAGTGAGCTATTTTTTGCCAAACCCTGTCTTCATTTCATCGAAAACCCGACAAACTGCTTGTTGCTCATATAATCATGCCATGAAACTTTCAGGTTTCTAGCCCACCTATGAGTTCTGAGACCTGGAACTGTATCAGCGGCATTGAAGTGGTTGAATCAGTGGAGACACTGCCTTGTACAATCTCCAGAGTCTCCCTTCAGGTAAAAAAATAAAATCGATCCCTTTTTCTCATCATAACCGTCCTACCTATAAAAACAAGAACCGAAACTAAGTAGCTTGAGAATTGCAGATGCTTTGTCAATGCACAGGGGAAAGGGATATTCAGACAAGAACAATGGCCGTGTTTGATCTTCTGCGAAATTATCGATGGGATGTGAAAGTTGTGATAGTACTAGGAGCTCTGGCTGAGACATATGGAAGACTCTGTCTACCAAAACACCTTAGCTCCTCTGATCCTGTGGCAGCATCGGTTGCAATCCTCAACTGGTTGCCTTTCAATACAAGCAAGTTCAGCACTTGGCTTAAATCTCTGAGCTTGCTGGTTAGGGCTATGGTAGATGTGACTAAATGCATCATTGGGTTTGAAAGACTGCCAGTGAAACAGGCAAATCCAGACAACAACGTTGTGGGAGAAACCGCATCTCAAGTCTATTTAGCTGCTTACTGGGTTGTCAGAAGTGCAATCACATGCTTGATGCAGATCGCCTATTTCAAGCAATCCCAGCAAGTGCATGTTTTCCCCCCTCTTCTATCACACCCTGCAAAAAAAAAATAACACAATTATTCACTACGTCTATGTTAACATCATATTAGGCAATTCATGATCAGATTTTCTCATGGGCAAGATTTTTGTGCAATTAACAGGCATCAGATTCGAGGATAGCAATGAGGGAATTATCAAGTTTAGGATATCGGTTGACCAGCATGCAGATCAGTCTCAAGGAGCAGGTAGAAGAATGCTATGAACAAATAGGTAATCTTCGGAATGTTTGGTTCCAGAAACACAACTTCTGTCAAAAGCAAAAACCCTAATGCTACAAATATATTTATATATACATAAATTTTTAATTTGATATACAAGTATATATTTATATATACATAAAAAAATAAAAAATACATATATATATACATACAAATATATTTATATATACACAAATATATGTATGTATATATATTTGTATAGATATATGTATATATATGTGTATATTTGTATTTTTATATAGATATGAATATATATGCATATACATATAGATGTATGTATATATGTATTTTTTATTTTGTATGCATACATATATATATATATGCATTGTATATATTTATATATATATACATGTATATATGTATATGTATTTATATATATGTATATATAAATATATTTGTATGTATGTATATGTATTATGTATATATGTATTTTTTTTCCTTTTTTAAATTTTTTTTTGAAAATCTGACGTGGCGTGCTGACGTGGCAAAATTTTTCACATGGCCTTCTACGTCAGCCGCTACGTGGCCTTCCACGTCATCAATTAACGGACATTTTAACACCGTTTCGGATTGTGTAGTAAATTGCAGTAAAATTGGGTAATTCGTGTATAGATTTGGGATATTTGATAATATAGTGTAGGTTTTTGTCAAATTAAAAATTTGTATAGGAAAATGTCACATTTTACTAAATTGGTGTAGGAAAATGTCATTTTCCCTAATAATAATAATAAGATTTTTATGAATTTGACTTTAAAAAAATATTATGTCTAATTAAATTCTAAATTAATTTAAATTAAAATAAATTACACATTATTAGATTGAATATGGTTCTAAATAATGCAACTGAAATGCACAAAAAATGTCACATACTTATTTTCATATAAAAATGGGAAAAAGAAAACATTTGCTTAGTTATATACCTACAGTTCATACAGACATTATCACCATTTCAATGGACCAATAATGAAAAGAGGTAAAGCTTCAAAGCCCATCGGGCTTTACTTGGATTTGGATGTCCAATTGTATATTCACTTTTGAACCTTAATAAAATATCAACTATGAAAATCTTAAAAATTATGTCTCTATGAATTTATCTATTTAATTTTAGATAAAATCAATGAAAACTCCTAAACTCGTAAATAGTGGAAAACAACATTTAAAACTTTTTATTAGATAAATTTATTTCCAAACTTACAAAATCAGAAAAAAAAAATGATGATGTTGGAGAATTATAATGATATATTTTACAAATTTGAAAATTATAATAACATGTTTTAAAAGTTTTTGAATAATTTTGTTAGGCAAAAAGTTACAAATTTATTTAACACCATTTTACAAATTTATAAATTTTTATACGTTTTATCCTTCTTAATACTTCGATCTTATATTACTTTAATCGAATTCGAGAAATTTATTCTATATGTATTTAATGAAACAGTTTATGTGAGTTCATTTATTTACCATCTTTAATTTGATAAAAAAAATATATCTCCATAAATAAAATTTACGCACCACAAGATCTAGTCAATCAAACGTCGAACACAGTGAGCAGTGAACATGCAATGACTCCCGAGCCATCGATTTATAAGACAGCGATCGATATAGGGACCTTTTATATTCTCGTTACATCATTTTCGAATTAATGCATCTATGACAAGTGGATATCCTCATATTCATACATGTTTTTATAATATATATATATATATCCACACGTGAGATTATTTCACATTTTGGATCTACTCAATTATTTAAACAGTATGTATACATTGATTTTGATTGGAGCATTTGTTTTTACGTTGCGATGGTTTTAAGACAACCTTATACGATTGTTTCATAATTTGTAATATAGAACGAAAATATGAAATAAAGAAAAAGAATATATTTTCAAATGAGATTTGGACCTCTTTGCTGGTTTCATACCATCTCTCGGACTGTTTGGCATCATCATTGCAGGAAGTTCTCATATGGGCAAACCGATGTTCGAATGACCCGACGATTAGGCTCATAGTCAAACTACTGCTACAAGCGGCTATATACCTAATATGGAGGGAATGAAACACTAGGCTTCACGACACTCAGTCCAAACCTGCGGACATTATCCTTAAGGATATTCTAGCTACAACACGAAGGCGACTTTCTTCGCTCAGAGGTTCAAGCATGGACATGAACGCACACGATTCGTTGCTAACTATTTGGTTTCGATACTTTGAATGTAGTTGATTCAAGATTTTGTATTCTCGCATATGGGTCTGATTACTGCATCTTGGGATTGGGTATTTTGATGTTCTCACACCAATATATATTTTGAAGTTAATATATATTTACCTTTACAAAAAAAAAAGAATATATTTGTCAAAATTCTAACAAAAAATTATAAACCGCTCGATATTTGGTTTGAAGGGATAAGTTGGGAATGATTGGATGTGTAATAATTATTCGTATATTTTATGTTGAAAGATACAAAACCATAAGATGTGAAGCGGCACGATGGGATGACGTACTAAATGCGTTGTCTGAAATCTTAACAGTTTATATTTCGGACCGTCCAAATTTAAAATCATATATCATATTATATAGACAGATAATGATTATTCATCATGTGTATATAACTGTTCAATCGAGATAGAGACAATTTCGAAGCGCAATTTCACACAAAAATGCAAGTTATTTTGTACATTTTTTTAAAAAAAATTGCAATTTCACACAAAAATGCAAGTTATTTTGTACATTTTTTTAAAAAAAAATTGCAATTTCGCATAAAAATGCAAGCTAAGAAAATGACATATAGTAAGGTCCGAAATGAGAGGGGCCGAATTTGTCTCTTGAACTGATAATACGATTATTAAGAATTTTAATATTACTGAATATTAGGCAATTTTTGTAGTTGATGAAAATTCTACCACAAATGATATATAAATCAATTATTTTGCTATTATTAATATGCAACTTAATTTAAAACTTTTATTCAATTTTCGAATTTTATAGAGAATATATAAATCCAAAACAAAACGTATAGTAATATATAAATTCAAACTTTCATCGTTTTCCAATATTCTTGCAAATTTTAACGTAATATCTTCACGTGTGAAATTGTATGATCGATATTCAGGTTTTTTTTTTTTTTTTTGATAAATCGATATTCAGGTTTTGATTCTAAACTCTGTATAATTTTCAATATTCTACCAACTTTTTAGATTTTCCAATTAATCTGATTATAAAGTTGAAATATTGGTAGGTTCATACTAAAGTCTCGTCACTACTATCTCGATTATGGAATATATTCCAATATGTAATGATACAAATCAGATTTATTTTTGAAAAAGTATGCGACTGTGAAAATTCGGAAGACCGGAATAATTCTCAATAAATATTTGAAGATTGCGACGTAACAAAAGCAATTATTAAGAATGTAAACATATAATTTAGGGAAAATTCAAACTTTATAAATGTGCTTAAAAATACATCGACTTTAAATTTGACAAATAAATACATCAAATGTTGAAATGTACCAAAAAAAATACGCTTTCTTCGATTCGAAAACAATATCATACATTGTTAGAAATTGTTTCATAGATAAAATTTAACAGACATTAACATTCTTTACTCAAAAGCAATTTTATATTCAAATCTTAAAATTGTCGAATGTAGAAAATTGTTTTAAATTTCAAGAGTTAATATATTTTTGTCATCTTAATATTTGGTGTATTTAATTGTCAAATCAAAAGTTGATATCTTTTTGCACATTTTATATTTTATAAAGTTTAGGAGATTTTAGCAAACTAAAGACATGAGACATATAAACTATTGATAACGTAGTAAGAGTTCAATATTTATATAGAAATTCTCAGTTCCTAATAACTCTTATTTTCCGTCTCCCCAATTTTATCGAAATATTCCTCATATTAAACTTTATCGTATTCAAATTTAATTATTATAACCTTTTTCAATTTACCATCAGAAGAGAGATAAATTACATATTCCTCCTATAATTAAGGTTTTAATTAGCATATGCATGCGTTGTTTATACTTAACACGTACGATATCTCCATGAGAACGTGTGGTCCATTCACACACCAAACCCTAGCTAGTTAGGTTAGGCGTTACAATTTAAATATGCATGGAACAAACACCAATGATCATATACCCTTATAACCTATAGTTAAAAAGATTATAAAAACAAGAAATATTATTCATTTCGATTCACTCGCCCGCCACCCACTCTGTTCAAACTGTCGAATAGTCTCCTCAACAAATTATCTACAAACTTTGACTTTTCATATATATAATAATCTATATCCCAATTTGTCACTGCCTTTTTCTATGTAATAATTTAGATAATGACTTGTATCCGTACTATTCACGAGTTGACCGGCATAATTAATTTGCAAATACATGTAATTAACAATTCCTAAACAAGATTAGTCCCGTAAACACACACAAAATACGGTTGTCCATGCACATAACAAGACAGAAACTCAAACGCATGCGGGGAACAGCCTCATGTGTCTTCATATTAATCCAAAGGACGACATTATTAATACATCATGCCCTGCCATCATTTAATGACTTTTTCTTTTTAATCTTATTAAAACCAAATGGGACAAGTTGGAAATGCTTTGGATTAATATGTGTATATTTATGTATTGAAATAAGTTGAATCATCTATGCGTATATACAATAACTTTCCATGCATTATAACACATGTATGTATGTATGTATGTATGTATGTATGTATGTATGTATGTATGTATGTATGTATGTATGTATGTATGTATGTATGTATGTATGTATGTATGTATGTATGTATGTATGTATGTATGTATGTATGTATGTATGTATGTATGTATGTATGTATGTATGTATGTATGTATGTATGTATGTATGTATGTATGTATGTGTGTATGTATGTATGTATGTAATACCTTTCTTTGGCATAATAATTATGTAAAGATCGATTAAACCCTCTTTCTTGAAAAAAGGTCATGTATATGGTTGATAGTGTGTCTAATTTAATGTTTATTTGGACCAACGGATTGTTAGCCTAACATACTTTTTTTTGTAGCTATAATAATTATATTTCCTTCCAAATAAGAATTCCATTTAGTCACCATGATTGGCCAATTCGAGTTTCTTCTTCTTCTTCTTCTTCTTCTTCTTCTTCTTCTTCTTCTTCTTCTTCTTCTTCTTATTATTATTATTATTATTATTATTTTTTTGTAATGGCTATTATTATTATTATTATTATTATTATTTGTGTGTCTTCACTGTCTTGTTTGCAAAAAGATACAACTTGCTAAAGTGCAATGTGAAAGCGGAGACAATAAATTTCGACATCGTCATTGATTCCCCTCTAAAAAAAATTAGACTAATCGACTCAAGTTGAGAGGTCATGGATTGCGACACGGCACAGTCCACGAGTCAGTATCGTATGTCGTATAAGTTCACCTGTATGAAACTTATATATAATATATATATATATATATATGTATTTGAAGACTTATATATGTATGCAAATACATTTCTACATACACGTAATAAAAACATAAAGCATTAATAAAATCTCGGATTACAGATTTTTCGCGTATATGTCGTCCACGCGAACCAATCTCTTTTCTAAAAAACGAAATTAATGGACCACCCTATTTTGCGAAATTTCAAAAAAAAAAAAAAGGAGGAGAAATATGATAGAATGTATATAATAAATATCGAATTTACGCCAACATTTCATTTATACAAAAAAATAAAAATGAGCATCTGTGGTCAAACGTATATATGGTGCTACTGCTACATGGTAATAACACTTTTGTTGAATCTTTGATTAATTAACTATTATTAACAAAGAGTAAAGTATATATACATGTAATTAGTACATAAGTGGTAATTACAATAATATCCTTCTATATATACTTTCTTAAATATGTTTCCCCCAAGGAGGCTTTATATATATATATTATCTATACTTTCTTTGTTTTTTATTATTCCGTTCCAGTTTTCATGGTAGTGTGTGCGACGAATATATATTTTAAATTGGTTGACTAAATAACGCATTTAGAGAAATTAATATGCATATTTGCATAAATATTTTAGACCGAGTTGGTCGAACGCCTAGATATGTGTTCTTTGGATTAGCCATTAATGTTTGGTACGCTACGCAAATAAAAAAAATGAAATTGAAAAGTTAATGCAATTCCGACAAAAAAATATTTACAAGTTGTGTATATTTTTATGAATTTATTTTATTTATCTTTATTGCCTCTTTCTTTTTTGTCGGCTTTCTCTTTGGACGTAGGATTGCATTTCGTTTGTCAAAGTTTATCTAAATTGCTTTTTTTTTTCTGTTATTTTCTGCAAGATTGTGACCGGAAATGCCTTATTAAAAACATCAATTAGTAGCGATATAAATGACATGATATTTAACCGGTAATCTTTAAATGCAGATTTATCTTTTTTAAAAATTTGTCCCCACTTTGTATTATTAGGGATTAGAGATTAGTATAGAATTAATATTTAAAATTGAATTAAATTGAGTATATCTGGTACCTAAAATCCTATTCGATATAACTTTTTTAAGCAAAAATTAACTAATAAAGTTGAACATTGATATAATATATGACAATAAATATGTTTAAAATAAATCTCAATATTCAAAATAAACTTTGAAAATATACATCAAACAAAAAAAAAAAAACTGATGAAAAAGAAGAAGTCCACCATATTAAAAAAGTTGTCGGCAGAATGAATTATCTAAATAAATTTGAAGAAATTAATAGAACAAAGATTGACTGGAAGAATATAAATTGGAAAATCACCGGAGATGCTTTCACATGGCGATTCGAATATTCATGGACGTATTCCTTGTATCGTCCATGCATGCAGAAAGCTGAGCGGCAGTCAATTTCAACGTAAATTTAGGGTTCTTTATTCATGGATCTCTTTTCATATTTGAATAAATGAATAATACAGCAAGCGGATTCATGTATCACTAATTAACGCTTTCTTTTAAAATATCATTTTCGTTTCATCAGTTATATAACCGATGATAATATATATATATCCCAATGTTATATATAAACCCTAAGGTGAGTTGGTCTTCTTAATAAAAACATGCATGGTTGGATCTAATTTCGTGAAGAAATGAATATGAAAATCATTTGGATGTATTATATTATAATTGTGATGTTAGATCCCAACTTTGGACGCAATTATATATTTTGGGTATTAATTTGCTTTTAGGTAAAAAGAGTGCTGAATATATTTCTTACATTGATAACAAATTCATAGAATTATATATGTATAACTCCAAAAGAAATCAACAATATCTATTTTTGGATAAATTAACAATATCGATTTAGTAGAGGGATTATCAAAAAAGAAATATCCATTTAGTAGTGTGGACGTGTATTAGAATAAGTTAAGCATGTTGAAAAAATATTGGTTATAAATAATATAGTATATAGATGATCCATATATATATATACACACTCACAAAATTGTGAAAAATATCATTACTAAACAATGTAACCCTAGAATATTAATATCTAAAACACATTAAAATAAAGGTCAACAAATAGAAAATAATGTATTAGACATAATATATTTAAATATTCCATTGAAAAGATAATAATTGGTACGAAATAGTTTTAGAAACCATAAAATTAAAATTCATTATTATTCACTAAAACTTACAAAAGAAGGAGAAAAACAACAGCATATATAGTGTAACACCACATGTGAAACTCCAATGAAAACAAAAATGATTCTCCCACTTAATTAAGGATTAGAGATTAATTAAGCCACTAATAAAGGTATTCTTTGTCTTAATAAATCTCACTTCCATTAATTAATTCAAGTCCTTAAGATAATCCGAGAGTAAGCTATTTTAATTCTGGCTTTCTTGTTTTGCATGGGAATTAATATATTATAATCATTTTCATAATCTACATGCTATCCAAAACATTATTAAATAATTTAACTTGTCAGACAATTAATCTTAAAATTAGGAAAATAAATAAATAAATAGCAAAACTACCAAGAAACAGCCCATAGATTTCCACAGGTTTCAAGGAGGCATGTGCAAATGCTTAATTACTCGGTTTTAATTTCTTCAATCCAAATTACAACATTAGAACTTGTAATATATATGAAAACAATAACAATAATAATAAAAAATAATTTAATTTTACAAATCAAGATTGGAGAAAAACGAACAATCCGGATTTGTGACAGAGACCCTCCAAAGCTTAACCTCGCCGTCTAAACTCCCGCTGACGATGGAAACGACGCCGTCTGAGTCTTTCTCCGTCACCGCCGTCAACGACTTAACGGGTTTACAATGGCCCGTCAAAACCGACAAACAGTTATAACGGCCGTCGATTCCACGTCGCCATATCCTGACCGTCCGATCAGCGGACCCACTCAGAAGCAGATCAGAGACGTTGATCAAACTCAGTATCGCCTTCTCGTGCCCTCTCAGAGCTCCCGTCACCGACATGTAACTCGAGCTGTCCTCTCTCTCCCACACCAGAATAGAACGGTCACACGACCCTGAGAACAGCACCGATCCGTCGTCGTTTAACGCCAACGCGTTCACCGCCGATTTGTGCTTCTCCAGCGTCGCGACCAAAACGTGGCGTTTAGCGTTTGGCGTTTGAGACGGTTTCGCCCACACCCGGATCCGTCTGTCCGCGGATCCCGTGTAAACGGTGCCATTAGAAGAGACGGCGACGGCGTTGACGGCGTCGTCGTGTGCTTTGATCGATTCCAAACAACGCAGATCCGACGCTCGCCATATCTTCAGGGTCTTGTCCCAGGAGACGGAGTAAATCACGCCGTTATTTACGGCGAGGGCGGTAACGGCGTCAGCGTGCTCGATCCACAGACGTTTTCTGTGACGGCGAACTTGCACGTAGTTCTTTGGAAGCGCGAAACGGCGCAAGCGATCGTTAAGCGTGGGGAGAGTCGTTAACAGTTTGTAGCCGCCTGTCGCCGTTAACTTCCAGACGCCGATTTTGCCGTCCTGGTGAGCGGTGAAGATTTTTCCGGCGGAGAAGACGACCGATTTGACGGATCCAGAGGAGGAATCCTGGCCGTTGAAGGTGTCGAGATGGGCACACATGGCGCGGTCGTAGACGCTGATCAATATTCATGGACGTATTCCTTGTATCGTCCATGCATGCAGAAAGCTGAGCGGCAGTCAATTTCAACGTAAATTTAGGGTTCTTTATTCATGGATCTCTTTTCATATTTGAATAAATGAATACCCCGCCGTTGACGGCGAGGCAGGAGACGGGGAGATTCCGTTCACGGAGCCTGAAGGAGGAGACGACGGAGTAGGAAACGGCGTCGTTTAGGTTAACGGAGGGGATTTTCTGGAGGGAAGGTACGGAAGGGAGTGTCTGAAGGGAGAGGCTGCTCTGGAGACTGCTACTGCCCGTGTCAGAAGGCGATGATGACGTGGAGCTGTCGGCGCTGTTGTCGGAATCCAAATGCTTACGAGATTTTGACCGGCGACGACGTAGCGACGACTCCGAGTCGGAAAGCCATGAAAAAACCCTCATGTTTTCTCCGGCGGCGGAGTGTTTGTCTGTTTTCGTTAACTTCGACGTCTCCGATGTTTGAATCTGAAGCTGTGAGAATGAGAAAGTGGAGATGGGTGAGATTTTATAGGGCCTGAAACTGAAAATGCACGGAGACTTTGCCACGTGGCAGTTTAAAACGATAAGTAGGATTATCTGAACTCAGCGGGTCTATTCAATGCTAAAAGGACAGGGGTAATATGGTAAATTAAAGGTAACAGTGTTAGTGTGTTTGTGGGGTCAAAAGACAAAAAAGGGTCGAGAGTTTTGCGTTACAGCGCTGAAGGGGTTGGCCGATTGCGCGTTTATGATAACATCCCCAACTTTCCAAACGCTCCTTCATGCGAAAATTCTTGTACAAATTTTTTTTTTAATTAAAAAAAACTATATATTATCTGTAGATAATCATATTTATAATATATACACGTACGAATAACTTGGGGAAATAATTGAAAAATGAGAATATGATTATGTTTAGCCTCTACTTTTCAAATAATCTTCTCAACTTCTCTCTCTCTAGTTCGGGTTTATACAACACATTATATAGCAAATATATAGATTGGATTTTACCACAAAAAAAATATAGATTGGAAACAATATAAAAAAAAAATAATGTACCAAAAACTTCATAAGAAACGCCAAACGTCAATCCCCCATTATTAGAGTGTATAATCGGTTTAGTTTGGTTTAATTTGGTTTGCAGATTTTTTTACACCAAGTTAAAACAAACCAACCTAAATAACCGAGTAGCCAAACCGAATAAAACATAATCGTAATCGAACCGAATCCGATATAAAAACTGAACGGTTATAACTTTTCTAAAACCGAAAAAATCGAAATGAGTTTTTACAAATAAAAAAATTGAATCTAACTCGAAGTGAAATGAAATAGAACCAAACTGAAGTTGATAGAAAAACTGAGTGGTTATAGTTTTTTATAATCGAATTCGAATATAACTGAATCGAATCTAAACTTAACCGAATCGAAATGGCCACCCTAACGAGAATTGAAGCATGAGGATGTTAGTGTTCATACATGGAACATTCTGAATCACGAATAAACGTATGGTGGCGTTCTCCTAAAGGTGGACAGAAGAATTTGATAACGCTAGAACCGCGAGTTAGTGTTAGGAAAAAGAAAATAAAAAAGATCCAAAAAGAGAAAATAAAAATCGAAATTGGAGATTGGAGATTAGGACCAAAGGTGATGTGGACCAGAAGAGAGGGAACTGATCACATCGCACCGTAATGCACCATGCGTACGGCTTGTTCTTCCCTCATCGGTCGGTGTGGGTCCTCCACTATTCTAAAATGGAAGATCGCCAAACGAAGAATGTGACCTTATCTTGTATCAAAGTTAATTGATCTATATATATATATGTTATTTCTATATATAATCTTTTTTTTTTATATGCGGTAGTTGATTATTAGATGTATAATGGTTGAAACTTGTACGTTTTCTCGCTATCTCTTAATTAAATAATGTTTCACCATGCACTATTATAGTATAGTTTTGTGTCTTCACAAAGGTTTTAGACGTGTGTTTATATTATAGGATATGATATACACACGTAAATAATATCATGTTATATTTACTAGCTAGGTTTAGTATTTTAGTTCTACATAGATTCCATGTGTATACACACACACACACACACACATATATATATATATATATATATATTCATGTTATAAAATGAAAAACGCAAGAGATTATCCGGCAAATTTTGTGTCATGGTTTCAAAACATATTTAGTTTAATCACAGTGATAGATACAGATGTGACGATGAATCGATGATGATATATTGAATTCTACGATGTTTAAGAAGAATATCGTCAATTGATTTATAATTTGAAAAAGATATCATCATTATACTATAAGAAAAAAAAAAAAATAGAGACTTTCAACACTGATTTGCATTGGAAATGACCAGAGAGAGTGAGCAAGCCATGCATGATCCTCAAACTGTGGGTAAAGAGATTCGAATATATTTGGAAACGATTCGTCCATCATATTTAGATTATTCAAAAAGATTATGAGTGATAATACAGAATATCCAAAAATGATTATGATTTCGAATATTATTTTTTTGATAACCGAGTGTCTTTTAGCAAGACCCAATTTAAGTTCGGAACCGTGAGCCAACTATGGATTTAGAATATATATTCTTTTCTTAAATTTGAGATTCGAATTCGGTACGAGACAGACGATTTGCATTCCATTTCACCGATTAAACTATCTAAGTTTGCGATTTCGAATATTATGTATATATATTTCTGATAGAGATGACGAGAGATGACGAGGCTGATTAATTAAGGGACAAAACATGATCATGTTTGCGTTGCGTGTATTAGTTTCCCGACATAGTTGATAAAACAAGGATGAGATCCCCAACTCTTTGTCCAAAGATAGGACACCATCTAATCGAACATCCGTACGAATAGCCAGCCACAAAAGAAAGAACTAAGCAGCTATATCTACTTAATTTGTACTATTCACTATGGTGTGTATATATATATATATACACACACACGCACACTGTTTAAGGGTCATTCCCTTTTTTTCTTTGCTTATAAAAGAAATAAATATGTTTGGGATCAAAGGAATATGGCATTTTGACCTCATACAAGAAATGACAAGATAAGGTGAAATATCCCAATTTTTTTATTTTATAAATGGAATAATTCTTTTTTTTTTAATTATTTTTATTTTAAATGAAGTTAATTTTAATTTTGTTTTTATTTTTTAATGACATAGAAAATTTTTGACATGTGGCGCTGACGTGAAAAATTCGGTAAGACACTTCAGCACCGTTCACCGGACACTGTTACAAAGTTAACGGTGTTAGCGTCCGTGTAGCAATTTGCCAGAAAATTGCGAATTAATGTATTTTTTGGAAAATTAAAAAGTTCATGTATTTATGAATAAAAAATTAACAAATTGGTGTATTTATTTGGTATTTTTCCGTTCATAAATGGAATAATTCCAACATTTTTTTTTTGACAAATGGAATAATCCCAACTTGCTCCACTGCAATGATGATATCTTCTTCATGGATCTCGTGTACATTTACATATATGTGTGTGTATATATATATATATATATAAAGGAGTTATATATATGCATGAAAATCGAAAGAAAAATTCCCGTTCACATAAAGAAAAAATCACAAAAAGACGACATTACATGATTGCCACTAAGGAAAATTGGCGTGTATATATGACTTTTTTTTGGGGGGGCGTACGAACTAAAAAGTCTTTATAGAATGTTTTGAAATTAACTCGTTAAACTATGGGCGAATATTTCGACTGCCTCATATGATACGATAATGTCGGGCAGTTTCATACTAGGCTCCGATTAAGGAATCATGCCTGAATAAACGTTATCCACATTATGATGTCTGTATACTAAATGCGGCTCCATTTACCACACTGTTTTTGGATCTTCATTTTGCAAATATTGATCCGAAGTCGAACCGAACCATTCTTGATCCGAAGTCGAATCGAAAACCGAAACGTGTAACCCTAATTCTGTTCGTTCGTTAAATTCGTATCACAAAATTGGGGGAAAAGGACGGTAAGGGGCAAAAGTGTCATTTAGTCCTCGTTAACAACAGTTTTGTAATCCTGTAAACCCATCCTAATTGGATTTGATGTATTTGCTGAAATGGTTGGTGTATCCACGGAAATAAGCCCATCAGGGGCCCATTTTAGGCCCATTAAGGCCGAAAATGTTTTAGGATTTTGATGAAAATCTACGGTTGAAAAAAAACAGGTAGCACCGTAATGAGGTGTGTCTAGCCATACCAGATCTCTGCCTCACAACACTCAAAAACCTTCTTCCCCGATCTGCAAGGGTTCACCCTTTATACCCTCTGGTTCAAACGCTGTCTCTCCACCCACCTCAAAACCCTATATCCTCATGTTCCATGCATAACTTATACATACATAGATACGTACGTACATACATACATATACATGCCTCTACGTAGAAGAGGAAAACAGAGAATCCGACGACAATGGTGAAAGTCGCGTCGTTCTTCGCTATGACTTTGGCGGCGTTCGCTTTCTGGCAGTCCATGGACAAGGTCCATGTCTGGATCGCTCTTCATCAAGACGAGAAGGTCCCGCTCTCCTCCTGATTTCCTCCATTGTCGCCATTTTCCTTTGAATTTCATTTTCTCTCGCTGTTATCGATCTGGATTGGTTGATTCTGGCTCGTTTCGCGTTTCGTCGGCTCTGGATTTAGGTGTTGGTATGAAACCCTAGCTTATGGGATTTACGTATGTCATCCACAATCCTGTCGTAACTGTAGACTACGTAGAACTCAAACTATTTATCGTTCTCATTGACGAGCAAATCAAAGAGTTTTGAGAACTCTAAACTAACCATTCACCAGGAATTGTACATCTTCTCTGGTCTTCGGAGCTATCACTTTGGTTAGAGTTGTAGTGTTACTTTCTCTTTGCAACGGGAGTCTAATCCCTATGATATCAGATTTTTTTTCTTCCCTTCAGTCTGATCCTACAGAATGCAAATGTTATCGGTCTCATTGGTAAATCCATCTGCTGTTCATCTCGGCTTAATTGGGCATCTTTTGTAGCTTTGTAGGATAATAGTTGAAAAGTGTGGAGTGTGTTGATCATTTCGTCGCCCTGTGCAACGTTTATAACCTATGTTGTTCGTGCATATCCCAACTAGTGATTGTGTAACAGACAGTGTATAAACCCTTGTACATGATTCAATATTCGATTTTGTTTATTCGGTCTTTCTCTTCATTGCATTGTGTGTTGGTAATAGGGGATTTTCCGGAAAGAGAATCTACTTGGCCTGTTTTTTTCCATTTCTCGTCCGAATCTGATCACACTTTTGCATAGGTTTAGGTCATTTTTGTAGTTATTAGGTGTTAATATTAGTTTGTGTTTGATATTCCTTTTGCAATTGTGATTTTTGTCTTCTAGAATGCAGATAGGTCTGATTGCACTCACTGATGTCATATTCAGATTTATCGAATGTTGTCTTTGTTTGTCGTTCAATTATGGGCGGGCTCTACAGTCGTTAAACAGTCTAAATTTTGATCATAAATCGCATTAATGTGTTTTCAGAAAGAAAGAATGGAGAAGGAGGCGGAGGTAAAGCGGGTTAGAGAAGAGCTACTTCGGCAGGCTAGAGAGGAAGATCCTCTTGCCTGAACTCGATCATACTTTTTCGAGTAACGTTTCTCTCATTTCCCTTCTCCTCGCCTTGTTGCTGTTTCGCCATTGATTCTGCGCAAAACAAACAAACCCATGCTTTAAATTTGGACGGTGGTGAATAATGGACTTTCACTCTTTGTTAGCAAGTGATGAAATGAAATTCCTCCTTTGTTCCTCAATTACCATTTCCTGCAGGAATCATTGTTCAGTGTTATCACTATTTTCACATTTTAAAAAAAAACTCGGGATTATATTATATGATGTTTGTTGTGTTTATTTGTTGATGAAATGATTATGGTTTGCTCTCTATATGGATTGAAATGATAACTTAAGTCTTGCCAAGAAATGATATGACTCAACTTTGGTATATATAACCTTTTTAAAGTGGGCTTGAGAACCTAAGGGATGCATCTCTCTTGGATAAAAAAGGAAATTAAAGAGCTGAGAAAAAGATAAAGTGTAGCTTCTTGGTGACCTCTTTTTTTTTTTCTTCTTTATAAGGATTTACTTTTGGTGACTTGTCTTGTAAAACTTTAGACAAGAAAAGAACATAGTTTCATATATATATATATATATATATATATATATATTGGGTTATTGGTTATATTTCGATTTGATAAATTTTTAACTTGGTATTTTGGGTTTTATAAAAATTATATCTAGTCATTTTTTGTATGGTTGTTGGTTCGATTTGGATTTTTTTAGATTAAAGCATATGTGTGTGTGTATATATATATATATACTTTTTATAAAAGGTTATTTTTTCAGTTTTAAGTTGTTTTATCCTTTCTAATTTGTTTAAAATCGAATTTATAGAATTTCATTTTAAAAAAAAAATTATAACCAATCATCGAGCAATTTTTAAATCTGATTTTATTTATCAAAATTAGTTTTACATATCATATAATACGACATTGAACCTGTGGGTGGCTGGGTGCACGATACCTTCCACTTCAACGAATGTGCGAGAAAAGATTCATTTCAATTAAAGAAAAACAAAGCAAAATAAATAAATAAAAAGAAAGTGGCAAACCGTGTGGCTTCGATAAGCCCAAAAAGGAGAAACAAAGCCCATGCACGCTTCCCTCCCCTTTTCCGAATCTTTGACCACTCACATCAACCCAATGTTAGGACTTTTAAGATATATTATATATTTTTAATATAAAAATTAGGGGTAGATATTTCAATTTTTATTCGGTATTTAAACGGTTTGGTTTGATAATAGTATTTTCGATTTTACAAAATTTGTTTCAAATTTGAATAAAATATTAAACGATTCGGTTCGATTTAGTATCGATTCAGAATGGTAGATATAGTTATATGGTAGATAATTCTGATTTTAGTTTGGTATTTTATCGGATTCGGTTCGATATTTATATGGTTCGTTTCAACGGTTTACTCTATTTTATAAAAAAATATATACTAAATTAAAACCGAATATTATTCGGTTCGATTCAAAACTAAAGTCCCGAATCGAATTTCATATGCATTTGGAATGTTTTTTAAATCCTTTGGTGACATATCCTATGTAATATGATATAACATAGGGAAAAACATCTTCTTTTTTTTTGTAATTTTCAACTGTTTTTCTCTCTTTTACACATTTGATTTTTGGATTTTAACAACATTAATATCGATTAATATGACAAATATATACCGCATAAAATTATAAATAGCGTTGATACCCTTTTCACTTCTTATATATATATTATACCCTTTCCATTTCTTATATTCTCTCTCCTTTCATAACAGATGCCGTTTTAGAATAAAATTTTTGTTTCAAAATAAATAACGATTTTTTATTTTCAATACACTTTTTAATATTTTTTTAATTTACCCTTAATTAGTAATAATTAAATATTCTGCATGTTTAAATACGATAATTATCTATGTAAAAAATAATGGTATTTTAGATAAAATAATATTTTTCTTAATTTATGTATAGAGATTTTAAATGTCGGTATATATATTATATGCATATATTATCAGACTAACAAAGATCATGTCTATGAGACCCAATAGATCATGGACCTTGGATTAGGAGGTAACTCCACATTGAGGTTGAGTGTTCGATTCCTAGCTGATGGGAAAGGAGGTAATTTCTAGGTTTATATGATCCATATACAAAAATTGTTCCCATACCGGAGGTTTACCTAGTTAGTGCGTTCGAAGGATAGCAGTTAGGGTTCTCCGTTATAAAAAAAAAATCATGTCGATGAGAGCGTTGGTTTTTGACACGTAGCAAGCGACAAGACCTCCACGTGTCCCACCCCCAGAATTTTTGTATAGCAAAGTGACAAAAGTATGCTGTTACAGAGTACAAACACGGACATCGCTGCTACAGATCCATGGTCTATTAGGACATTATTCGCATTACTTTTAATTTATGAAAAAAAATCAAAATTGCTCATAAATTAATTTAATTTCCTTTTCAAGAATTTTTTTAATAAGTGATGGCCATCACATCGAACGGTCAACACAAAAGAAAGTGTTTTATGCCATGTCAGATTCATGGATGACATGGCACCACCAGTCAACGGTCACGTGATTTTATTTATTTTTATTTGGAAATTTTACAGACACGTATGCCTTTGGATATTTAAGGAATGTTTTACAGTTTCTTTTTCTTGCATGCTTTTCAAATCCTCTCACACTGTCTTTTACCCTTTTTATAAATCAGATTCCTTAATGACTTCCATAAAATTCTGTAATTAATTAAAAATATAGTCCAAAAAATGAATTATGTAATCAATAAAAAATATAATTTGCTAAATCAATCCTTTTTTTTTTTGCTAAAAAAGGAATAATACTAATTTCGATCTAATCTGCTCGAGATTAAAAGATCATCAGTATAAGAGAATCTTAATGCATCATTAAAAAATGTGTTTTTTAAAGTCTATAGGATACTAATGCTGCAATTACAGCAGAGATTATTAGTTTGAACGTCAATCAAGTTTTATTATCAATTTAATTATTAATGTTGATTTTTTATTTTTATTTTTTGAGGCTAAACACAAATCATTACCATGATGTTTCCTGGTATGTTGTTTTTTTAGGGGAAATAACAAAAGCCGATGAATCAAATGTAATTTAGCCACGACAGTGATAGGTTTTGACATTTTGATATGAATATCTAAATCAAATATATTTTATTTGAATTTCATTTACAAATTGATACTGTTTAAATTTTAAAATTAAATTAATCGAAACAAATATTGAAAAATCGAAAAATACAATTAGTGTTTTTTTAGTACTCCCTCTATTTCTAAATGACGTTTTTTCACAACTTTAAAAAAAAATCATATATATTTGTATTGGGTCTCGTTAGCGTTATTATAATTAAATATTTTTAATTAATGATAAAATTATAGTTTTTTAAAAATAAACTTGAAAAAAAATAAAACGACATCCATTTAATAACAAAATATATTAACATCTTTTATTCATAAACAGAGGGGGTAAAACTTAATTAAAAATCGATGCAAAAAATGAAAAGATATGGTTTTCATAAAATAAATAAATTCGAAAATAATCGAAGCCAACTATTACAACGACCTGAAATTCGGCCCATCCATAATCGCACAATTTACACTGCAAATGGTTTAAGAACCAAATTAATGATTATCGACAATAAATCATAAAATTAGGGAGATTTTAATAATATTTTGTTGGTGTCAACGTCATGACAGTAAATGAAACTGACAATTAATTCGACCAAAAAAAAATAAAAAAGAAATTAAAACAGTGATGGCAAGGGTTCACCCTTTATACCCTCTGGTTCAAACGCTGTCTCTCCACCCACCTCAAAACCCTATATCCTCATGTTCCATGCATAACTTATACATACATAGATACGTACGTACATACATACATATACATGCCTCTACGTATATACGTACATCTTCACGTACGGATATAGTTTCCTTGATTTAGATCTCTGTACACCTGGCCACACGAGTTTTCGATATGGATCAAATTAAATACGCTTCATAGTTAATAATTTTTTTTTAAAAAAAAAATTTAATTCTTTCGGACTCTTTAAGAAATTTATTGATATATTATTAAATATATAAGCATAAAAATCCGGTCTTATATCGTCTAGACTTTGATTTAGCAAGTGAATAACACACGTGGAAATGAATTCAATTTCAAATTATAGATTACGAGTTTATATAACCATAGGGAATCCCCAAAAGTACGTACCATTACTCGAAACATGCAAACAAGCGTTCATCGAGCTTCATCAGTAGCACAAAACCTATATAGTATCGGATTCAACCGTTAGAATAGTAATTTCGAAATTCTTTCACTAAAATTTTTAATAATAAGAATATATAAGTCAAATCTAAATAAAAAATAAACTAATATCTAAAATCTATACAAATAACAACTTTTTATATTTTTCGTTAGGTTTCAACATTATTGACCACTTGGAATTTGTATTTTCTTTTTGTTAGAAAATCAAACAACCGAGAGAACAAAAAAAAAGAAAATTAAATAAAAAGTAACATATAACAAACAAAAAATGATAAAAAAAAAAAGAAGAAAAGAGTAAAGATAGAAAAAAAAATTCCCACGAGTGTTTACAACAAACATTATTGCCACTTACAAGGTATTTTTTTATTTTATAATAAGAAGTTCAAAACACGAGAAAATAAAATAGGGAATAATAAAATAACCAAGGGGAGAGAGAGAGAGCTATGGAGCTACAACAAAAGGCCTAATGAGCAAAAACCATGGTCATTATTAATTGTTGCAGGCGTCCACGTCATCATCCTCATCGTGATCCGAAACGCCGCCGTTTTCACCGCGACCATCTTCACCTCCAACTCCCCCGCCGCCGCCGATGCAGCAGCCGTCAAATCTATTATTCATCTCGGTCTTGTCACAAGACCCACCACATGCATCATCATCATTATCATCATAATCATCATCCATTTTATTCTTGCCATCGTCATCATGAGCATGAGCATGATCACGGTCATCGTTGCCGGAGATTTTCCCGACGACGTCGACGATCGGGACAGGCTCGGAGAAATTCCGGCCATCTCTCGGCGGCGAGAACGCCACCGGCACGTATTCCTCCGTCTCGCATGGAAACTTCGAGTTCTTGAAATGCTCCTTCAACGCCTCCAACCCCTTTTTGTTTACATTTTTACCGCAATGCCATTAAGATGAAAAGATTATCTCGATCGATTGCATCATAAAAACTATATAATATATATATAAATATATAATGAACATTATGATTATCGATCTAAAATTTCAAAAATACCTGAACTCGAGCATAAGTGACCTCGCAAATCTTCCTTGAATTGAAAACCTCCCAATGCTGATGATGGAACGCCTTGTAGAGCTTCCAAGCCGCTTGAGGAGATGTCATGTTCACAAATCCATATCCCACATTGCATTTGTTGCTGTATATATATATATTAAATTAAAACCAAACCCACATATTAATTACCCCCACTAATCAAGAAAATGGATTAAAAAAAGTTAAACGTGAAAATATATTAAAGATTGAAAAAGATCATTACTTGAAATCAATGGGAAGGTATACAAAATCATACGAAGACAAGGTCGCATCCTCTTCTTCGTTGCAATGGATGCAATGGCTGTCCAGCATGTTCAGAAGCATCTGCTGACTGTGAACCCACAAAGAAAAACGGCTTATTTTTGGAATGAAATGAATGATAAGAGGCCGATGGGTGTATAAATATAGTAACAAAATGAATACATATAGTCCATGACTATATATGGATTGTCGTTGACTTCCATCAAACCCAAGAAACCAGAAACCGACTATATTATATATGTCTTCGTTCCGGACATTTCTTTGTCTCGTCGAGATCAAACGACCCACCATGTCAGAAACACATATAGAACAACTATCACACACATATATATATATATATATAAACGTGAAAGATTTATATAGTAAAATTAAAAAAGGATGGAATAATAATAATACCTATACTTGTTGGGGATGTTCTTGATCATGAGAGTGGTACGTTCATCTCTGCAAACGCCACTTGACTCGGAGATCGCGTCTTCGTTTATCACGTAACATGCATCGCGGATCTTCTTCGATGGCTTGTTATTATTCCTCGAATAATACCTGCAGACGCCATTGTTGTTATTCCTCTCCTGATGATGCTTCTTGTACGCGTGATCGCTCGAGCTCGAATCGCTCTTCTTCACGTAACACTTGGTCGTCCTCTCCGCATCATCTCGGAGAGACAACGCTGCCATGGACGCAGCCACGGCGGAGCTTCCCCTCCGGTGATAAACCGGCGGTTTTCTAGGAGGTGAATGAGGAAACCGGCGGCGGGGGTGGTGGCCGGAGAAATCTTGCGGCGGCGGTGGAGGAGGGGGCAGGAGGAGGAGGTGTTTGTTGTGATAGTGCTGTTGCGAGGAGAGAAAGAGTCGCTTGTTGAATCCACCGGGACGGCTGAACTGGATCACGACAGGTTTGCCATGGATTTCTCTCCCGTTCATCTCCATTAGGGCTTTTGCAGCGTCTCTTACATCGTAGAACTCCACGAACCTTTGGTGTTTCTTGTACGGTGTCTCCCTCAGCTCCTTCACAGCTCCTGCAAAAGAGAAAAAACCCGTACGTTCATATATGTCGCGTATATGCATGTCTCAACAATGCCGGAAAAAGTGGCTTTTCCAGGAAAATTTGAAACCCCACGAAAAAGTTCAATCAACCCGACAAAATCTCTCCAGAAAACAACAAAAAGGGAGCATGTAGATTATAAAAATGTTACTCGAGACAAAAAAAAAACCCCTCAAATCCATTATATATACACACACACACAAATATATGTGTTCATACCGTAAACTTGGAAAATCTCACGGAGAGAAGTGTTGGAGATGGTGGGATCCAAATTGAGAACGACGAGCGTGCCTTGGTTGTTCCCTTCGACGACGGCGCCGGTCGCCGGGACGGCGTAATGGGCCCACACGGCCCGGCCGACGACGAGCCCACGCTCCGCCGGGAAAAACCCGCCGCCGTTGACGCCGGAGCTGTAGCGAAACTGTTGCTGCATGTGACGCTCGCGTATCTCAGTCAAGGCGGTTTGAGCGTTCCTGATATCGTAGAAATGGACGGTCACGATCCCCTCAACTGCCCTCTCCATCTGGACCCCACGGATCTCGCCGAAGACCTCCACGTCACGCCTCACCGCCGATTCGCTGACGTCAGCAGCTACCGATATCAGCACCACCGCCCTCGTCGGCGCCACCGATGTCGGAGGGAGCAGAGGCTCTGGACTGGTTTCCGGCGGCGGCGGAGGAGGAGAGTAAAACGGCAGGAACTGGAGGTCGTTAGGGTACTGCGGCGGCGGAGGGAGAAGAAGCGGAGGAAAGGCCGTCGCCGGAGGAGGAGGAGGAGGAGGGTAGGGGAAGAAGACGGAGGTTGGGGTGAAGAAGTGAATTGCGTTAGGTATCGGATTTGAGGTTCCGGGCACGAACTCTCGGGCTGTCGGGTCGAGGTTTCCGGCGAAAGGGAAGCGGCGGGCTTCTGACATGGCGATTTGTCGGCGGAGGAGAGAGAAACGGAGGTAGAAAAGGTCGTTTTCCGGTGACCGGCAACGGCTCTTTGTTCGTACGGACGAGCTTTTGATCTCTTCCTCTCTCTCTCTCTCTCGCTCGGTCTCTCTGTGGTGTTTGCAGTGAGAAAGCCAAAGTGGGAATTTTCCTTTGTCTGCAGTGGTTTTTCTTGATAAATTTACCAAAAATGTTTTTTTTGTCTGGTTTTTATTCGAGTATTTGACCCGTTGAATTTACGATTCTACCCTTTATGGTTTTATTTTCTAATGATTTTTTTTCTTACTACATTTGAGATTCGAACACATTAGTCATTAGCTAACTTTCGTATTATTATTTTTCTTTTTTTATTTATAGGATTCTTGTTATTCGATTTTATGTTAGATTCGTTTCTGAATGTTACTATCCTCTCGTGGAGTTATTGGATTTGTGTTTTTTTAGATTCTCAAATGGTGGTGGAATTATATATATTTATGAATTTGGGTATTTTTATAGGATGGATCTGTTATAGAAACAAATATGGATTTTTGATAATTCTATCCTTTTATATAGAAATTAATAATGTCATATTTAACTTGGCGTTTCGAGATTCGGTTCGGGTTTTTGTTTCAAGTCATCCGGTTAAAGAAAATCTATACCATTTGGTTATCATAATATATCTTGTTTGGTTTTAGTTTGGTTCGAGGAAATATACATTTTCTTATGAAAATTTTGGATTTTTAATATTGGGTTTCTATTTGATTAATGTTTTTTTAAAATATAATCATTCAAAATTTTTTCAACGGTTCAATCCGAAAACAATAGTGATTTTCCCTATTTGGTACGGTTCGATATTTCTTGAATCGAATAGAAATCGAACGGAAACACCTAACTCTAATCATATTTATTTATATCCGCAGAATATGTATTTATCCTAATGATAGCTAAATATTTTTAAATATATATGAGTGTTGATTTGATTATAAAGTGGGGACCACCTTAATGTGTTTTGCCAATCACCCGATTTCGATGTTCAGGGTTCAAGTGACGACAGATTTTCCACGTTCCGATGTTATTTGAGTTCCGAATGCCACTTACCATTAACATACCAAAGTTATTGCACGAATAGAGTGTTGGACCGACTCTTATGATCCAACCGGTTATTGTATTATGGACCGTTTCTTTTATATATATATATATATGAACCAGAGGAATCAATTGGTTAACATTTTACCAAATCTGTTAGGGTTTCTCTAAATTTGGAATTTTTATTCAAATTTAACTAAATCGGTTTGTTTTTTTTCGGTTTTATACCAAACCGATGTTACAACCAATATTTTGTCCACGTCACGTTCTCTTTCCGACGTGTATATCGACGTGGCATTACGGAATAAATTTTCACATGCCATGTTTGTATTTACGGATGCCGTGTTAGCTCTTTTTTTTTTAATTTGACAATCGTCGAAGAGTTTAGATATTTTTTGGACTATCTAAAAATTTAGTATTTAAAAAAAAATAAAGTGATTGTTTTTTTTGTTAAAATTAAAAAATTGAGTTTTTTTTATTTTGTATTTATATATGTTTTGGTAAGAAATGTTTCAATATAATATAATAAAAAGGGTGTAGCAAGGACTATTGGATTTTCTGTGTATTGACGTTGGATTACAAATAGGATAAAAAATGCGTGAGAAAAAAATGTGAAATTATAATTAAATAGCATGGTATTTAATATATGTATTTTTTTTATCGGTTGTAATAATGAAATAAATGCGGACACAGGACACGATTGTGGAACTAATGAGGACTCGAATCTCCACAATCTCTCGGTCGGACCAAAATTATCCTATTTGAACCTTATAATTATACAATTATTTTAATCTGCAATTTTGCAGAACAGAACACCAAACCCAACCCATGATCCTCAACACGTGCGTGCACACAAACATTTTGTTTTTTTTTATCATTATAAATGTTTATACATTGTTTACATTTATTGCATCGTATATAATGCGAATTTCGCATTGCGAAATCAATGTTATATATATATATATATAAATTATATGTTATATGATTCCATCACTATGATATATAGTAGCAGATTTTGGTCAAGAAGTTGGCCACTATCGAGGCGGATATATCAATCCAAACCTTGCCAAAATTATTCCAATATCTATCAAAATGAATATATATGTATATTCTGAAAACATGTTCTACTGAAATATATACATATATAATATATATATATACATGAAAATTTTGAATCAATATAGTTTTTTCACAATATCTATCAAATCAATATATATATATATCACTACAAAGAAATAGTCTTTTAGCAACGAATTTTTTTCGTTGCAAACATACAAATTTCGTTACAAAACAGGATTTGCAACGAAATTGTTGCGTTGCAAAATTCGTTGTTAATCATTGCTAATTTGCAATGAAATAATTTTGCAACGCTTTGTAATGCAAAAGTTGCGGTGCAAATTAGCAACGAAATTGTTGCGTTGCAAAGCGTTGCTAATTGCAATAATTTTTTTGCAATGATTTACAACTGATTTTTACAACAATTTATAACGCAAAAATTACGTTGTAATTAGCAAAGAAATTATTGCATTGCAAAGCGTTGCTAATTACATTTTGCAATGCTTTAACAACGCTTTACAACAAAAAATTTCGTTACTAATTTGTAACGAAAATGTTGCGTTGCAAAAAAAAATTCGTTACAAAATGTTGCTGGTTAACTATTTTTTTGTAGTGTATATATATTCTCAAAACATGTTCTACTGAAATATATATATTTACACACGAATTTTTTCTGGTATGATATATACATGAAAATTTGAGTCGATATAGTTTTTTTTTTCACAATATACTATTTTTTTTTGTAGTATCACCTGCTGGAGGGCTCGTATTGTCGTGTTCCCCATTTTCACCGCACATATTCATGGGGGCGATTTGTCGTGTCTCTCCCATACTTTCATTATATTCCCAAAGTACAATGTTACACATTATATACTAATATTTTCTTCAAGAGACACAGCACTGTTAGTAGTGACGACTTTTTCTTTTTTATTTCACAATATTTACAAATACAATAATTGTGAAATTAATTACATATATATATATGGGATGTAAACGGGTTTATCCAATCCGAACCGGTTTACCCCGACTCGATTTCAAAATTTTGGAGTCCAATCCACTCCGATCCAAATAACTAATCGGTCATAGGATAATTTTTTCTCGTATGGATGCAGATGTTGAATATTTTCCACAAATGATTCTAGACGGAATGAAAATTTTCAAAGTCTCTGTTCGAGATAGAGGGTTTAGGGATATTTTGTTCTTTTGTAAAAGGCGAATCATTGGTCCTAGGGTTTGTGAGTCTTTCCTCATACTTGCGTTTTTTGTTTTTTGTTTTTCATCTTCTCTATCTCTTGTGAACGCTTTGTTCCCGTGCTCTTCTTTGATACCAATCGACGATATCCGGTTGTAACCCTAGCGATACATGCAGTTTTCTCTTTCCAAGATATAGATCCATGGTGACCGAATTCGTAAATTCCTTTATGTTCTTTCGTTTTTGTTCTTGCACAAACGAGTTCCGTCGGAGAGATTTCGAGAGTCAAATCCTCTACAGCATGATAAGGAACGCAAAATGTAGTCATTCAATAAATTTTAAACGTTAGTAATACACCATTACTGAACTCAAACAACTATAGATATTGGAAAGTGAAAGTAATGAATCTGATCAGAGGTATTTGATCATGATGACAAATGAATTGGTTCGTGAGCCAAATAACTAATTTTAAAATACGATTTAAATTTTGTCAATCATATATAAAATATATTATAATACATTAAATATTCTAAAATAAGATAAAAATATTTTTTATTTATTTACGAGAACTGGTCGAGATGATTCAGATGAATTCGTCTTATGATGAATTGCCTTGTTCGTTTTGTTTTACTAGAATTTATTAAACCCATCTCGATGGAATATGAATTGGTTCGCCAACCAAATCTATTTTGACATTATATATATATATTGTGTGAAAACATTCCTTTCCGCATATAATAACAAAACCAAGTGAAAGTGATGGGTCTACGGTGTGCCCTAATTCCTGGTACAAAAAGCATGCCCTAGACAATTCTATACATTTGATTAGCCATATATATATATATATATATATACATATATATATATCAACCTAGTCTTATAGCCTTTATTTTTTAATTTGTCCCGTAGATTTTGTTCATATCTCTGTCTAATGATCCATTCCTTATTTTTAATGTTTGGTCTGTGTTATCTCATCTCGACCTAAAAAACCTCATGCTGTGTCAGACACCTTTACAAATAAACGTACAGTTCCAACACTCCATAATTCTCTTAGCGATTGTTCGGTACATCATCTATCTACAAAGTGTGTGTGTGTATATATATACACATACACGTATATATATAGCTATTATACGCATACACGTAAGTTATACGTAAACTGTGTATTATACCGTGTATAACGCAAATTTTAATTTATATACATAACTATTACAGAAATAGAAAATATATCTCTGTTATTATACAAAATTTGTTTATTTTAAAATTTCGTGAATGATAACAATATGATATTATATAAAAACATCACTTACTGTAAAAGATCTCGTTATATATATCATGTATATCTATATAATAATAATAACACATGACATTTTCTATAATACAGTTTCCGGTAATTATGTCATCGATTTTGATACCGCATAGTTTTTTCTTTTTAAAAAAAATAAAAAAAAAGTGGTTCCTCTTTTATAATTCCAATTTCCAAGCTTGTTGTTCTTTCTTGGTTCTCGAATAAAGTTGGTCCGTTTGGTCTAATTATAATCCATGAATGTTTAGGAAATATCATCTTAATCCCAAATTCCCCTAACAAGAACGAAACAATGATTACTGATATGGTATTTGAAACATATATATATATATATATGTTTATATATATATATATATATATGTTTATATATATATATATATGTTTCAAATAACAAATATACATACATATATATATATATATATATATATATATTGAACCATTTAATTAATTTAATTACACAAATGGGAAAATAAATCGGTTCGATCTGATCTAAATCTACGCTCATTCCAAAGGTTTCAGATTCAGA